TCTAGGCAACATAGGAAGACCCTGTCTCTCAAATTAAAAATAATAAAAAGTAAAATCCAGCTAGGCATGGTAGTGCCTATCTATAATCCCCAAACTCAGGACTGTAAATGTGAGCTCAACCCTATGCAATTTAGCAATTTAGACCCTGTCTCAAAATGAAGCTTTGAAAAGGTGTGAGGCCAGGTGTGGTGGTTCATGCCGTGTGATTGAGGCTGCCCTTGAGTCCCTGTGTAACCCAGGCTGGCCTTGAGCTTCTGGCAGTTGTGCCACAGCTCCCAAAAGCTGACATTCTACCCTGTGGTGCGCTACCTGGTGCTTATTCCATTCTTGATGTTTTTGGATTGTCTTCACTTTCTCTTTCATTTCCAACTTGTCTTAGGTCTACTCCCGAGCCAATGAACAGGAGCCTTGCGGCTGGTGGCTGGCCCGGGTGCGGATGATGAAGGGAGATGTGAGTGACTGTGGACATCTTTGGAGAATTTCGGATACTAGTGTTTTATTCATGGAAAGGTTGGAGATAAATGGTGGGGTCATCCACAACTTTTTTCCCTTTTCCTAGTTCTATGTCATTGAATATGCTGCTTGTGATGCCACCTACAATGAAATTGTCACCTTGGAGCGACTTCGGCCTGTAAATCCCAATCCCCTTGCAACCAAAGGCAGCTTCTTCAAGGTCACCATGGCTGTGCCCGAGGACCTAAGAGAGGCGTGAGTGCTGGGGAGGTGAGGGAGGGTTAGGGCTAGGGCTAGGGCTCGGGCTCCTGCAGTCCTAGTCTCGTCTGGTTTTCTTCCAGGCCCCACTCCTACTCCTCAGTGTTCTCTGTTGTTTCCTGGCCCTTTGAGGGCTTTCTTTTTTTTCTTCATGGATCTTGCTAAATTGTCCCAGGTGACCTTGCACTTGCGATCTTGATGCCACAGTGTCCTGAATGGTTTGGATCGTAGGTGTGTGCCAGCACACCCAGCTCCTGTGGAGCTCCTCGTACATGTCACGCCCTCAGCGCCTCTGTTTCCCATCCCTGTTCGCTAATTGTGTTCTTGCTTTCTTGTTTTCTCTGTCCTGTTCTTTCTCCTAAGCTTATCACTGCCCTCTGCCTTCTGAACATTTATTCTTCCCTGCAGCTGCTCGAATGAAAATGTCCATAAAGAGTTCAAGAAGGCTTTGGGAGCCAACTGTATCTTTCTTAACATCACAAACAGTGAGCTCTTCATTCTGGTGAGTTTATTCTGTCTGGGTTTTATATATGGCCTTTCAACAGTTTTTCTTTTTCTCCTTTTAAACTTTTTGTAGAAAGTGAGCTACATTGTGCATACATGTTATTTGTCAGCGAGGACTTTGAGGCTGTGACCCCTAGAGGCCCAGGTAGCCCTGCCTTTCTTAGCTTTCCTCATGTATGATCCTTTTGTTTTGTTTTGTTCTTTTGTTTTTGTTTTTGTCCCTGCCATTTTGGGAATTGAACAACTTTCTGTTTTTAAACCTGGTAATCATTTTGCAATCTGGGTTGATATTCTTTTGGATATTTGACTTTTTAAAAATATACTATCTATACTGGGTGTTGTGGCACACACCTGTCACCCCAGCACTCCAGAGGTTAAGGCAGGAGGATCACTGTGATTTCAAGGCCAACCTGAATTACAGTGAGAACCTTTCTTTAAAAACAAAAACTTGGGCTCTTCCTGCATTAGCCTCCCAGAATGGTGGCATCACAGGTGTATGCCACCACGCCCAGTTCCTCGTTCATTTCTTAGCTTTTCCGGGAGCTCACACATTCTGATTTCCAGGGCCTAGCTCTCACCTAGTGTGTGTGCAGTCAGTTTTAACGACTTTCCTGTTTATTTCTAGTCAACTACAGAAGCCCCTGTGAAGCGAGCATCTCTGCTGGGTGATATGCATTTTCGAAGCCTCCGTACCAAACTGCTCCTCATGTCCCGCAATGAAGAAGCTACGAAACACCTCGAAGTCAGTTTTGGCTCCAACTCCTCCCGCTGAATGGTCTTGTCCTCCTTCCTTCCTGCCCCATCCTTTATTCATGCTCTTGTGTGTACAGAACAAAAAGTGTAAGGCTTTCTGGGGCATTCGGCCAGGATTGGCTCTTTTTATCTCAAAACTCCTCAAGATAGCAGTTCTCCATTTTGTTAATGGTACAGTTATTTTTTAAACTATTAAGTAGAGGACCTTTTGGTCATGTGAAATGTTTCTTTTTTTGAGGAGGATGGGTGAGAACTGGGGAATGAACCCAGGGTCTTTGCACTGAGCTATGTTCCAATCCATTTAAAATTTTTTTAATTTTGGGCTGGGGATTCAGCTTAGTGGCATAAGCGCCTGCCTGGCAAGTGCAAGGTCATGTATTCAATCCCCAGCACAAAAAAAAAAAATTTTTTTTTATTGTGAAGTAGGGTCTCAATTGTACATGCTGGTTTCAAACTTGCACTCCTACCACCTCAGCCTCCCAGAGTGCTGGGATAACAGATGTGGACCACCACAACTAGCTCAAGTGAGATTTTTCTTGAAATACAGTCTATCTAAAAATGGGAAAGGAACCAGGTGTGGTTGGGGCAGGATCACTTCGAGTTCAGAGGACAGAAAAAAAAAAGAAGGTAGGCATGATGATGCATGTCTGTAACCCCAGTGCTGGAGGCTGAGGCGGGGGGATCGTGACTTCAAGGCCAGTTTGTGAGTACAGACAGACTGATCTGCATGGTAAGACTCACAAAACCCGAAACACTTAAAAACTAAAACTTGGAAAGGGCTGTGGCTCTGACCTCCAGCAGTGCCCCCAAATTAGCTCTATTCAGATCCCTTTGTGTGCTCTGTATGAGACTGTACGTTTCAAAAAGTGCTGGATTTGGAATCTTAAATCTTAGATAAATAATTGTCTTGGCAAATCATTTTATCTCATGATTTTATCAGTGAACTTTGTCTTCATCTAATGAGGTAGTTAGACTAGAGTATTTCTACAAGTTTGATTTGTTTTTGCTTTTAGGGGTGCTAGGGGCTGAACCCAAGGCCTTGTGCATGATAGGTAAGAGCTCTACTAGTGAGTCACACCTCCAGCCCTCCGAAGTTTTTGAGTTCTGTTATCATAACAGTTGTCAGTTTCTCTTTTCCAAGGCATTAACACCATTCTAAATGAGATTAGAGGATATGTGTGTCTGTGTGCGTTTGTCTAGGTGTATTTGTGTCTGTCTGTCTGTCTGGACACTGCTTTCCATTTATCAAGTGAACTTAATCTCTAGAGAGGCTTTTCTACGAGCCTGGGCAGGTTCTGGATCATGGTACTCTTTCACTTTTTAGGTTTGCTACTCAGGGGAGTGGTAGGTAAAAATTCATTGTTACCCCAGATGATCATTGCTCCAATTCCTGGTGAGGTAAGTTTCCTGATGACAAATGATAGTGTTCAGCTCCCTCAGAACTTAGCTGTGTTGTTTCTGTGTGGTAGAGTGTACCAGATAAGCTAAGTCATAGAGCCAGTATCTTAGAAATAGGGACATGTCCTTGTTTTTAAGAAATCTTCAGTTAAGCATGGTGATATGTACTTGCAATCTCAGCATTCTGGGAAGCTGAGTCAGGAGAATTGAAAGCTCATGCCTAGCCGGGTGTCATGGTGCATACCTGTAATCCCAGCACTTGGGAGTCTGAGGCAGGAGGAGCACTATGAGTTTAATGCCAGCCTGGGCTACAAAGTAAGTTCAAGGCCAGGCTGGACTGCATAGGTAAACTCTGTCTCAAAAAGACAAAAAAAATTTAAAAAGTAATTTTATGCCTAGCCTTGTACATTTGAGTGATTGTGAGATTTTGTCTCAGAATAAAAACAAAAGGCTGGGAATGTAGTTCAGTGCAGTGGCCCTAGGTTCAGTTCCCAGTAACAGAGGGAGGGATGGAAAAATCTTGCTTTTTTGTTGCTGTTAATTCTTTTTCTAAAAATAATTTTAAAATACTGTCTACACTGAGCTACTTGGGAGACTGAGGCAGAAAAATCACTTGAGCCCCAGGAGTTTCAACCTGGACAACATAGCAAGAGCTCCATCTCAAGATTTTATAAATGTATAAATTTTACATAAATGTTAGTTGTTTTGATCTCTTGTTTGGTTTGGCTTTTTGAGACAGGGTCTCACTGTGTGGTTCAGGCAGGCCTCAAACTTGCAGCTATCCTCCTGCCTCAGCCTGCCTGGTGCTGGGATTACAGGCATGTAGCACCACACCCAGCTAAAGCATTTTATTTTTGTGCTGGAGATTAAACCCAAATCCCCGTGTATGCCAAGTATAGTCTCTATCACTGAAACATATCTTCAAGGCAATTTAAAAAAATAATAGCCAGCTGGGTGTGGTGAGTTTTATAATCCTAGCACTTTTGGAGGTTGAGGCTACAGGATGCAAATTTGACCTAGCATGGACAGTTTAATGACTTAACAAGACTCTCTCAGAATAAAAAATACAGGTCTTGGGATGTAGCTCAGTTGGGAAGGCCCTGTCTTCAGCCCGGTTAAATAAGATAAAAGCCTTCCTTATCTTCGCCAGAGGAGATCTCTAAATTATAGATATTACAGGGCTGGGGATTTAGCTCAGCAGCATAAGCGCCTGCCTTGCAAGCAGGCAGTCGTGAGTTCGATCCCTGGTACCGATAAAAACGAAAAAGACAAAAAAAAAAAATTATAGATATTACTCCCCCTTGCACTTAGTGATCTTGAACATTAAGTCAGTTCTGTTTTCCAGCCTTAGATATCTTTCCTACATAGCTTATCTTGCCTAAGACTCATACTTCCCTAAATTTTTGTTGTTTTTCTAGAACCTTCTCTTCAATCCAGGGACCCCTTTAAGCACTGGTTGAGAAATGAAATATAACTGTTGCAGTTCATGGGACCACTTTCTGCTTTTCTTAACCCTTTGTATTTTATTAAGCTTGTTGGATTTGTTTTGGGGAAAACTGATGCTTGTATGGTTAAGACAGGAAGAGTTCTTTGTATTGCAGGTACTTTGGGAAAGTACCACCCTTTCTTTTTTTTTAAATACAGAACAATTCACTAACATGCGGGTCACCCTTGCCCAGGGGTCACGCTAAGCTTCTTTGTGCCCTTCCAGTTTTAGTAGAAGTGGTGCCAGAGCAAGCACTTTTGTTTTGGTTTTTTGAAACAGGGTCTTACTGTGTATTCAGGCTGGCCCTGGACTCACTGTGTGGCCCAGGCTGGCTTGGAACTCACAGGGATCCTCCTGCCTCAGCTTCCTGAGTGCTGGGATTACAGGCATGTGCCACACATCCACCATCCCACCCTTTCACAGCCCTCTTTCTCATCTTGAGCATGAGGTGGGTCAGATGTAAGGTTAGCAGAATGCACACATTTTTGTTCAGAATCATATAACCAGATCCTTTGAAAACCAAATGCAGAACTTTGTGTATCCCAGCCGAAACGCTGCCCTGATTGCACTACTTTCCCTTCCTCAAGACATTAATATTTAAAAGTTCCTGAGATTTTCTACTAGGTCTTAGTGCTCAGCACTCTCCAGGGTGCTTCTGGCTTTCTTCCATGTGTTTTCATCCTGTCTCTGTCCTCACCGAGTCACACAGAGGGTCAGGTACCTGGGACACGGGCTCTGAGATTCTACCACCATAACCCTACAATGCCTTTTCCTTCTAGACAAGCAAGCAGTTGGCAGCAGCATTCCAGGAGGAATTCACAGTGCGAGAGGACCTGATGGGTTTGGCAATTGGGACTCACGGTGCCAACATCCAGCAGGCTCGAAAAGTACCTGGGGTGACCGCTATTGAGTTGGGTGAAGAGACCTGCACTTTCCGCATCTATGGGGAGGTAGGGAGAGATCTGTCATCCGGGTCTCTGAGTGGATGGTGGGAAAAGGGTGGAAAGCAGACCGGAGTGGTTTTGGTTTATATTTGTGTGTATGTGGTTCTGAAGCTTGAAGCCAAGGCCTTGAGCTATATGAGCTCTAGGCAAGCACTTTGGGGGTGGGGGAGGGTACCAGGCATTGAACTCAAGACCTCACCCTTACCAGGCAGGCACTCATGCCACTGAGCTAAATCCTGGCAAACACTTACATTGAACCACTTTCCTGCCCCACAAACCTGTGTTATGATGACCTCCTTCTTTACTTAGGTGGCAGCATCCCGTTTCCCCAAATTCAGAGAATGACCTAGAGAGGGGGAGATTTTTTAATTCTTATATTTCAGTAACACCTCCCCACTTCCTCATAGACCCCTGAGGCATGCCGACAGGCCCGAAGCTATCTAGAGTTTTCTGAGGACTCTGTGCAAGTGCCCAGGAACCTGGTTGGTGAGTTGGGGTGTGTGTATGGAAGAGAATAGAGCTGGGTGCAGGGGCACATCTGTAGTCCCCTCTACTCAGGAAGCAGAGGCAGGAGGGTCAGTTGAATCAGGAGTTTGAGCGGTTGGGTAACAGTGATATGCCATCACACACACACACAGATGGACATGCTGGTAAGTCCAGCACACTGGGAGGCTGAGGCTGAGGCAGAAGCATTAAGAACTCGAGCTCAGGGGCTGGGGATTTAGTTCAGCGGCATAAGCACCTGCCTTGCAAGCAGGCAGTCGTGAGTTCGATCCCCGGTACTGATAAAAACAAAAAAGACAAAAAAAAAGAAGAAGAAGAACTCGAGCTCAGATTGGGCAGTGTAGTGGCTTAGCAAGACCCTGTTCCAAAAAATAGTACGGGGCTGCAGCTCAGTGCAAAGGCCCTCAGTTGAGTCCCCAGCGCTGAAAAAAATTGGGTGGGGAGAATGTGAGAGTCTCGAAAGTGATTCTGCGTTTTCAGCTGGGGTTGGCGCTTCCCTGTGGGCTTCAGTTTCACAGTTACAGAACAGATCATCCCATGAGGTTCATAATAATAAAGGGAAAACTCGTGCAGAGTATGAGACTGTAGTCTGTGGCTACGACACCCAGAATATGTCCAGTGTCCTCTGCTCTCAGAAGCTGAGGAGGGTTGGGCTTGCCTCATACTCAGATGGCAGATTGTAATGGTTTATTTTGCGAAAACTGAGCAAAAACCTAGAAACGGAATCTATTGTTTTTTTTAATTAAGACAGGATTTCACTATGCAGTTCAGGCTGGCCTTGAACTCACTTTGTAGCCCAAACTGACCTCAAACTTGTGGGGATCCTCTTGCCTCAGCCTCCCAAGTGCTGGGATTATAGGTATGTGCTCCCATGCCTGGTTTATAAAAGGAATTAAATTGAAAACATACAGAAAATGGTGCTGGATGTGGTGGTGCACACCTGTTATACCAGCACTCAGGAGGCTGAGGCAGGAGGATCGCCATGAGTTCCAGGCTAGTCTGGGCTACCAAGTGAGTTCAAGGCCAGCCTAAACTATATAGCAAGACCTTGTCTCAAAAAAAGAAAATGGTGATACATCTAGAAGACTGTCTTACTGTTTTACTCATATTTCTTTAAAAACAATTTTTTAAAAAGGCCTAATTTCTCCTTTACTCATTCAGGCAAAGTGATCGGAAAGAACGGGAAAGTCATCCAGGAGATTGTGGATAAATCTGGTGTGGTGAGGGTGCGTGTGGAAGGTGATAATGACAAGAAGAACCCCAGGGAAGAGGTACGGGGTGACCAGGTCTACGGTGGCTTTCCACAGATGGCAGGGTGGGTCTCTGAAGTCTGGGGCGCCCAGGATGAAGCACAGCTGTTGTCCGTGCTGCTTTTGATCCTGTTGGGTGGGCTCGCCTGGGAGCCCAGGTGGCGCTAACATTTCTCATCTATCTTTTCCCCCTGTTCCCCAGGGAATGGTTCCCTTCATATTTGTTGGCACCCGAGAGAACATCAGCAATGCCCAGGCACTGCTGGAGTATCACCTGTCCTATCTCCAGGTAGCTCTGCTGAGGGTCAGGAGGGAAGCAGCCAGGTGCAGCATGTGGGCAACTTCAGGACAGGGGTGCCCCGTTTGTCCCCGTGGCGCAGGGACCTCGGGTGGAAATTCTGTCTGAGATCAGACCCCTGTGTTGTCCTTGTTCAGCTCTTCTTTCCCTTCTTGCGTTTCTGAGAGCTTAGCTGTGTAGAAGCATGAAGGAAGGTGACAGTCCCTGACCTTACTGCCCGTGCGGGTCTCCATTCTCCTCCCCACCAGGAGGTGGAGCAGCTGCGCTTGGAGAGGCTGCAGATTGATGAACAGCTTCGGCAGATCGGCCTGGGCTTCCGGGCTCCGGGGAGCGGACGGGGTGGTGGCAGCGATAAGACTGGCTATGCCACGGACGAGAGCTCCTCCTCCTCCCTGCACGCCACGCGAACCTACGGGGGCAGCTACGGAGGCCGTGGCCGCGGCCGCAGGACCAGTGGTCCTGCCTACGGTGAGGCTCGTGGGGGCGCCTGGGACTCGAGAGCCTTGCGAGGGAGGAGGTGGCAGGCGACTGGCAGCAGCTTGTGAGGAAGAACACTTCTCTGCTCCAGGGTGGATGGGGCCTGGGGCCCTGAACAGACCCCTGTTTCTGCAGGCCCCAGCTCAGACCCGTCCACGGCCTCCGAGACGGAATCAGAGAAGAGAGAGGAGCCCAGCAGAGCGGGGCCTGGGGACCGGGACCCCCCAGCCCGGGGAGAAGAAAACCGGAGGCGGCTGGCTGGGGGCCGGGGCAGGGGACCCCCGCCCACCACCCGGCCCGCCTCCAGATACAACTCCTCATCTATTAGCTCAGGTACTGGACGCACGGATGGACGGGCGGCTGGGGCACGACACGAGCCAGCTGCAGGAAGGGCTGTGCGCCGCCTACCTCCTGCCTCTCTTTCCTTGGCCAGTGCTCAAGGACCCAGACAGCAATCCCTACAGCCTGCTGGACACATCTGAGCCAGAGCCCCCTGTGGACGCCGAGCCTGGGGAGCCCCCTCCAGCCAGTGCCAGGCGCCGCCGCTCCCGCCGCCGTCGCACTGATGAAGACAGAACTATCATGGATGGAGGCCTGGAATCTGATGGGCCCAGCCTGACAGAGAACGGCCTGGGTGAGGGTGTAGCTAGGCCGGAGAGTGGAGAGAGGACTGAGGGATGCCACAGTGAATATGTGACCGTTCTCTGTCTCCCACAGAAGAGGAGTCCAGACCCCAGCGTCGTAATCGAAGCCGCCGACGCCGCAACCGTGGCAACCGGACTGATGGGTCCATCAGTGGAGACCGGCAGCCAGGTCAGCCAGCTCTGCCCACCAGAAGCCTCCTGGCACAGATGGACTTTGTCCTGCTCTTGGCAGCCACAGCTTGGGTTTAGTGGGAGTGGGCCAGATCACTGAGCTCCTTCTCAGTCTCCCTTGCTCCCCCAGTGACCGTGGCTGACTACATCTCGAGAGCAGAGTCTCAGAGCCGCCAGCGGCCCCCCCTGGAACGTGCTAAACCCTCAGAGGACCCCCTTTCAGGACCCAAGGTAGGCAAGTTTTACACCACTCCTGTTTCTTATCCTGGGGCAAGAGGCAGAAGCAGATCTCTAGAAAAATCTCCTACCGACTTGCCAGAGTGGCCAGGTCATGTGGAATTTAGCCAGGAGAGTGGCCCACGGTGAGAGTGCCCGGAGGAGACAGGAGGGGAGCTCCCGGAGCACAGGGCCGGGTCGGGGACCGCTGCCCCTGGACTCCCACTGACTGCCCTTTCCTCCCCACTTCCTCCTAGGGTGACTCTGTCAGCAAGCTTCCCAAGGGCCTCTCGGAAAATGGGGAGCTGTCTGCCCCCCTGGAGTTGGGTAGTTTGGTGAATGGGGTTTCATAAAACCTCCAACCTGCATCCCTCCCTTCTCCATCTCGCTTGCTGCCCACCACCATGGGCCTCAGGGCCCAACTGACCTGCGCTGGAGCTGCTCTTATCTAGGGGGGAGGGGGGTGGCACAGCAGCTTGGGTCCCCCCAACCTCCAGGAGTCGTGGAGGGGTGTGTAACAGGGTCATAGCCCCTTCTCTCTTGTCCACCCTCCCCAGGGTGAGGGGAGCCTCCCCTTCCTCATCAGACTGGATGTGCCTTTATCCTCTAATGCCCCAACCTCTGAACACCCTCGCCTGCCACCTGCTGGTGGGTGGGTGGGGGTGCTCCTTGACCCGCCCAGATTTGACAGTTCAGGGGGCCCCCTGCTATCCCTCCTCCCATCCTGTACCCCCTGTTTCTGGGGCCTCATCACTGTGGAAGACGGGGATAGTGAGGGTATCTGTGGGTGGGAGGCATGGGGAAGGTTTTGGAGTAGAACCAGGGGTGTGTATGAAGGGGTGACAAGGTCCCCCAGGGGAGGGGGCCAACCTTGTCTGGTGGATGAGAAGGCGTATTTATTTTTCACTGTACAGTATTTAAAAGGAGAATAAAAAAACCCAAATGGTCCTGTGGTTCCCTGCCTTCCTGTCCCTAGCTGACCCTTGGTAACCTAACCCCGGCCCGCTGTCCCCCAGGCTAGGCTGCTCTCAGGTCTGCAGGGTCACTGCTGACTTCCCGGCCGGGCACCCCTGTCCGCCCCTGCTGGGGGGACGGGGCGCTCCGGTGTCCCCAGTCCGCTGCGCCGGCCCTGGAGTTGGCCCTGCTGGGATTCGAGAGCGCGGCCAGAGTGCGCCCTGGCGCGCGGCGGCTGCTTCAGGAGCTGGAGATCGCCCGCGGCCCGGGGCGGGGCGGGGCGGGGCGGGCTCCCACCCCGGCGGGCTGGCGTCCGCTCCGGGGGCTCCCCGCGGCCCTGCCGCACCCCACCCCGCCGGAGAGCGCCGGAACTCCGCGGCTGCTCGGGCCGCTGAGGGCGCCCACCTGAGGGCCTGGCCCCGGCACCTGCGGGGACGGCACGGCTGGAGCGCGCGGGCCCCGCCGCCGCCCCAGGCAGGGGCAGGTCGGGGCTGCGGGAAGGCGGCCCTGCCCGACTTCCTCTCCGCGCCCGAGCCCCAGGGCGTCCCTGCCCCGGTGCAGCCCATTGTGGAAGGCGTCGAGTGAATCGCCGGCGCTTGAGGAGGCGGGGACCGCGCAGGGCAGGGCGGCGGGAGGCTGACAGCTGCACCCGCCGGGGTGGGCCGGGGCGGGCGGGCACCTGGCCGGCCTGAAGGCGGGAGGCTGGCGGGGCTGGGAGGAGCCGCCGTTTAAAAGTTGTTCCCGAGGCCGGCCGGCCGGGGTAAGTCTCCTCTCCTGGCCGGGGACGGGGACGGGGACGGAGACAGGGACGGGACGGGACGAGACGGGACGGGACGGGACGGGACGGCAGCGCGCTCCAAAGCCGGCGGGAGAGCGGGCCGGCGCGCGCCCTCTGCTCCGTGCTGAGTGCCGCGCTGGTTGCACCGCAGGCGCCACGGGCTGCGGCCTGGCAGCGGTAACAGACTGCAAAGGCGACGTCTCCCCGGGCCCGAGCCTCCCAAGCGGGGGGCAATCGGCGCAGGACCCCATGGCGCTGCCCGGCTGCTCGCAGACTCAAGCCTGGAACCTCGAGCCCCCCGCTCCTGTGGCCGAGACCCCCTTGGCCGCCGCAGCCCCAGAGCAGCAGGGGAACGGGAGCCCCGCGGCCCCCGGGGGGCTCCCCTCGGAGAAGGTGAAGCGGCCCATGAACGCGTTCATGGTGTGGAGCTCGGCCCGGCGCCGCCAGATGGCGCAGCAGAACCCCAAGATGCACAACTCGGAGATCTCCAAGCGCCTGGGCGCGCAGTGGAAGCTGCTGCCCGAGGAGGAGAAGCGGCCCTTCGTGGAGGAGGCCAAGCGGCTGCGCGCGCGACACCTCCGCGACTATCCCGACTACAAGTACCGGCCGCGGCGCAGGGCCAAGAGCGCGGGCGCCAGGCCGGCCTGCGGCGCCCCCCTCTGGGGCCCAGGATGTGCGGCGTCCCAGGGAAGCAGAGGCTTCGGGTACCAGCCTCCCAACTACCTGCCCGGCAGCTACGGGTGAGTGTCTGGGAGGCGGCGGGCGGGTCCACCTGCGCATTCGCACAGAAGCCACTTCGCACCGTCACCCATGGGGTCTTTCCATCTCCCCGGAAGGGGGCAGTCCTGCAGGGCCAAGTGACCCCTGGCTTACCTGCTCTGTTGCCCCTGCTCTGGCCTGTGTGTGACCTGGCTTCCTGTCCAAGCCTGCAGGCCAAGGAGAGGCCGAGCCCATCCTGCCCCTTCCTGGCCTGCTGCCCCAGAAGAGGAAAACAGTCGCGCAGCACGCAAGCCTGCTGCTCCCAAGCATGTCCCAACAGGGCTGTGTTCCTCTCTAAGCCATCCTAAGGTCTGGTTCCATGCCTGCTGTAGCCAGCATAGCTCTGTCTGCCCAAGACTGGTCAGACCAGTCCCCCACTTGAGGTTGGGGCCACTGCGTAGCCCCTCCAACCCAGGAAGGCAGCCTCTAACTCCCGTTTCTCTTTGCAGCTCTTCCCACTGTGCACCGGAGGCCCCCTCGGCGTGTTCCCTCCCTCAGAGTGACCCCAGGCTCGCGGGCCAGCTCCTATCCCACTACAGCCCCTACCTGCCCCCGGGGTCCCCCGCTGCCTACAGCCCTGGTGCCCCTGTGCCCCTAGCCCACCTCTAAGGACCGCATGCATCTCCCAGGAAGGGCTGCGTTCTCCTTTCTGCCACCCAGAACCACCCCAACCCAGGCTGCAGGTCCTTTTCTGTGCTGGACCACAACTCAGGCCTGCAGCCCCGCCAAGAGAGCCAAGGCCAGCAAAACCACCGTGTAACACGATTTTGTATGATGAAACCTGTTTGTCTTTATTGTGTCCCATCTCCGTTCACCTCACTGCACTGCGGCACCATCTCCACTCCCTTCCGCCTGAGCCTGCCACAGCAAGCACCTGCGCACCCCACCCCGGGGCCCTGGCTGAGTCACTCGGCCCCCTCTCCCCACCCCCAGCACTGGGGTCCAGCCCTCAGTCCTAAGTCCGGGGAGGAAGCCAGCACAAGCCCTGAATCCCTCTTGTCCCTTGTCTGGGCGCTGTTCTCGAAGGCCAGAAGAGCAGTGGAAAGATCAAAGGGAGGACACTGCCGGCAGGCACAGAAACAGCTAGAAGCTGCTGCTGCGGGAGCCAGCACTGAAGCGGGTGAACAGCACATACACAGGCCTTGGGAACTGCAGGCAGGTCGGGTTTTGTCTTTGCGTGCTGGGGTGGAACTTTAATGTCAAAGTGTTAACCCTCCCTGCACCCTAAGGACCTGGGCCCACCAACCACCCGTTCCCACTGGACACGAGCCCTGGCTCAGAATGTGCAACAGCTGAGTCTCCCAAACAGGCGGGCTCACATGCGGAGGACTCCGACGCTGGTGGCGGAATGCAAACACGTGAAGCCCCCACAGCGGCCTCCACTCTACTGCTCCTTTTTGTGCTTGTGGGGAGGCCCTGTGTTCCAGTAGAAGAGGACCTGGGCAGCGATGAGGCCATTGCAGAGGGAGGCGACCACAAAGACGCCAGCCATGAGGGGGTCTCCGGTTTCCTGGTTGTGAGAGACAGCCAGGGTCACTCTTGTTTAATGTAACACTCAGAAGGCTGCCCTACCTGCGGCAGTGACCCTGCCTGTAATCAATCCCAGCACCCCGAGGCCGAGGCCGAGGCAGGAGGATCACTGGAGTTCCAGGCCGCCTGGGCTACTGCAAACTCAACATAGGATAGCTCAGTCCTTGAGAGACTAGGTATAAGACGGGTTTTAGTGCCCTCTAGAGGGCAGAAAGCATACTCACCTGAATGGAAGTAAAGATTCTGGTCAGGGAGCCCCCAAACAGCAGAAAGACTGTGATGGCTGAGAGCTGGCCTGTGTGCCCATTGCGGTAGTTGGTGGCGGCCTGGAGTAGCTAGGGGAGGAATTGACATCTTTTTGTTTTTGGTACCAGGGATCGAACTCTCGACCTCACACTTGTCAGGCAGGCACTTATGCCACTGAGCTAAGTCCCTGGCCCTGGTTTTGTCATTTGGACTTTCCCCATGTTCCCGTCGTGAGTCCCTCATGTCCCACTGTCCTCTGTTCCCGCTGGCCTTCCCTTCTGGCCCGCCACCCTGTCCTGCCGCGGTTAAACTTCTCCCTTGCTCCTCTACCCACCTTCCCCACCACCACAGCGGGCACATTGGAGGCCTGCAGCAGGGTGACGACAGCTAGGGGTGTGAGTGGTGAAAGCAGCACCAGCAGGCTCAGCGCGTAGCAGGCCAGGAAAGCAGCTCCTGGGGGTCAGAGAGACAAGGGCGCCCCTCAACCTCCCTCCAGCCTGTTCCCAGCAGGACTCCCAGTGAGCCACAGCCTGCTCCTGGGCAAAGCCCGGTACCTTTCCCAGTCTGTCCTCTGAAATGCATGATCAGGAAGCAGATGGTAATCGTCTGAAGCATCAGGAACAGGGCTTCACCCCAAGAGCTGCAGAGTCAAGATTTGGGAGGAAGAAGGGCAGGCCTGGAAAGAGGCAGGAAAAGCCTCCAGAGCCCATCCCCCGAGAACGCAGCCCTCCAGTGACCCTGCCTCCAGGATCCACAGCCGTCCGTGCCTGCAGAGCGCTAGACTTCTGCCCCTGGGAGCACGGGGCAGGTCCTCACCTGAAGAGGAAGCTGTTGGCGACGCTGTAGACCACGGTCCCAGTCAGCGCCACCAGCTCCAGGACTGCCGACTGCAGACTCAGCCCTTCTGCACTCTTGGCCCCCAGGATTTTAAGGATTTGGGGCAGCTTTACTGGGGAGAAGACGAGAAGGGCAGAGTTCCGAGCCTGTCATCACGGGCAGGGAGGGCCCGGGAGCCACATAAAGCAAGCCATTTGCAGTTCAGGGACCCCAGCTGAGGCTCCCAGCGCCTCCACCCCGTCCTGACAGCAGAAAAGGCAAACGGACATACCAAGGAGCGAGCCGGCCACGATGGCCAGCCCCAGGCCTTTGCTGAGGAGGATCTTGAGGCAGGGAACTGCAAAGAGCAGGAGGGGGAAAGCTGATGTCACCGGCGCCGCCCGGTCTTCTCCGCACCTCGCCGTTCACACCGGGAACCGGTCCCGCGGGCAGCCCCGGAAAGGGGACCTGGTCCTCAGGGCTCCGAGCCAGCTCAGCCCAGGCGGCTTCCCGGAATGGCTGATTCTGCCCTCCCGCACAGCTCTGCGCTCCATGCCACGCCTTCCTCCTGTCTCTTTCCCGAGGGCACCGAGCCACGCGGGAGAACCCTCATCTCCCGGCAGCCCACTGCACACATTCTCCCCACGACCGGGTTCCATGCCACTCGCGCTCTGCTGCTGCTCTGAGGCAGACTTGCTATGTATGTAACTCAGGCAAACTCCTGGCCATCTTCCTGCCTCAGCCTCCCGAGTGCTGGCGTCGCAGGCGTGCGCCACCATGCCAGCTCAGTACCATTCATTCTGGAACTCTCTCCCGGACTCCTGTTCAGAGGCTCAGTCCTACCCTTCCAGGTCTTGCTTTTATCCCGTGCTTATCCACAGTCTCTTGCCTTTTCTCCTTCCCCAGTGAGAGGCAGACATTCGCGGGCTATGATCTCAGTGTCCCACGAGCGTGGGGTGGAGGAGTTACTATGAACTGTCAGGGCAAGGTGGAAAAGCTCTCTAACTCTGACGTCTGAGGCATGCCTTGCTGTAGAGCTGCCCCGCAAATGCAAGAAAAAGGCAAACTATTCCAATATTAGATCATCAGAAGCAACTGGGGTCACAGACGCCCCTGGGGTGCACATGAAGGCCTGATTCTTTTTTTTTTTTTTTTTTTTTTACCGGTACTAGGGATTGAACTCACGACTGCGCGCTTGCAAGGCAGGCGCTTATGCCGCTGAGCTAAATCCCCAGCCCGAAAGCCTGATTCCTCACAGGCTTTCAATTCAATTTAACTCTGCCAGCGATATTCCAAAGTCTGGAGTTATCTGATCATATATTTAATTTTGTTTTGTAAAAAGCGAGTCGTCTTCTTGTCTTTGTCGCTCACGCACAAACTTCCAAATGTACTTCCATCCGGGGACTGTCTCCCCTGCCCAAATATGGCGTCTTCCCGGTGCGGGATCGAGCTACTTCCGCCCCTCTAAGAAGCACCTTCCGCCCAGCTCAGAGTGACGGCTCGAGTGACGGCAGCCTCCGCCGTCACTGAACAGCCAGTCACAGCCAGGGACGCTCGAATAAGACTTTGGTTGGAGACTGAATAAAACTCACCATGAAGCAAGTCCCACTGGACGAAAAGTTGGTCGTAGCATTTCTCAGGTAAAAGAACTGGCACCAGCACCCGCCTGAGCAGCTGATCCGCCTCAGCCGCCATGTTGGAAAGCGAGCTTCCGCCAGTTCTGTAGCCCGCCATTCACTTGTGCGCATGCGCGCTCCGCGCTCCGCCCCTAGTTCCTTTCCCGCGGGGAAGCTGTGCCCCACCTGGTCCCCACCCTTTTTACCCCGCCCCATTTTATGGCAGAATTTGAGATCAGAAACCAGTTTCCGAGGCAGCCTACCGTTCGAATTTTAAAGTGTTCTCCAGCAGTGCGTCTGCGCAGATTTCCTGCCCCCTTTGTTTACTGTTGCAGTTGGGAAGTGCGAATTATCATTTGGTCTTTCTTCGCGCCTCCTGCTAGGCGCCATCTTGTCTTATCCTAACCCAACTTTGTGTTGTGCAAAATTGAGATAAAGGGAGTGTATCTCCAAGATGGTGTTGGGTGGGGGCGCCGTGGCGCTCTGTTTCCCTGTCTCTTGGCGTCTCCAGAGAGAATGGCCCTGCCATGCCTAGTACCATGCTTGCCCCTGCAGTTTCTGTGGTGCAGGGTGAGTGGGTCCACCAGCGACCGTGGTGCTAGCGGAGAGAAGGGAAGAGGTCACCTCGGGGAGGGCAGCTTGTGAGTAGTGGACCTTGGAGCCCTCCTACCCCATGGTCTGAGTGGACCCAGTGCCAGCGAAGGATGGGCAAGGCTGAGCAGGCTCAGCTGTGCGCCTGGAAGAGGGCACCTGGACTAGCTGGCACCCCGGTGCCAGATCACCAGCCTGCGGCCACGACCTGATGGCCACGCTCCTGGCCCCTCCACTGCCAAGACCCCTCTCTTGGAGTTCCTTCTTAGGATATGGGCTCTGGCTGCCCTGAGGGTGACCCTCCTGCCTCCCCTCAGGTACTGGGGGTGTCAGGGTTAGCTTGGGGTGTGGCCAGGCTGAGAGCCAGGGTGTTCCCCACTGCACAGAAATCAGCTGTGTGTGAGGTCGAACTCCACCCTCGCGTTCTCCAGGCGGCACGCTGCCACTGGTGCATTCGCAGCCCTGCCTGCTAGCTTACCTAGCACAGGACACCGTGAGCTCTTGTAATCATACTTGGCTATTTTATTTTATTTTATTTATTTTATTTTCAGGCAAGCTCTCGTTATGTAGTTCAGGCTGGCCTTGAACTCGCGTGCCCAGTCTCCCTGGAGCTCACAGCTAGCCCTCCTCAGCCTCCCGAGTGCATGCGCCCTCTGGAGCCCCTGGCTCTATCTTTGGAAATGAAGTTGCCCGTTATGCACTGCTTTGCCTGACCGCTGTGTTTTTCATGGTACAGGAGACTTGGAAAGATGGTTGCCAAGATGGGCAGCTCCACTGGGTCGAGGGAGAGGGGGCAGCCAGCGGCGCCAGAGTCACCCGGAAGGAGGAAGCCATGGTATATTCACCACCATGTGTGCCAGGTTTGGGGCAGGGAGCCCTGGAGGGCATTTGGTCAAATCCTATCTTCATCCCTCTTTCCCAGCTGTTTTTGGCCTCCTGTAATTCAGCCATGAAAAGACACAAAGGCATGTAACAAGAAACTTACGGCCTTTAATCCTGGCAAAACAAGACAAACCAAAGACAAAGATTTGAGTAAGTTTTACTACTTTTTTACCGGCCTGGGGCTCGTCTCCTTTAATAAAAACCCCTTCCCCTCTCCCAGTGGCATCAACTGTTTTGTTCTTGAAGAAAGCCAGTGAAGAATGGTAACTGTGTTTGTGGGTTGGCTGCATGGTGAGGAAAGGAGGGCGCCCCTGGTGCCCCTAGGACGGGAGCAAAGGCTTAGAGGGCCTGGTACGCGGATGGGCGTCTCTGAATGATGCAGCAGGCAGCCAGCACCAGAACCAGCAGGCCAAGCAGCGTCAGGCCGATGATGAGAGGCAGCATCATGGACTGGTCCTGGTCGCCAGGGCACGAGAAACCTGGCAGAACAGGGCAAGTAGGCTTCCATCAGCAGTGGCGGGGTGGGCGCCACGGAGGCTGCGGGAGGGGACCGGCGAGCAGCTCCCCCCAGACTCCCAGTCAGAAAAGGGAGAAAGCAGTAGATTCCAGTAAAAAAGGGGAGCACAGCTGCCCGGTCACCGTGACAAGCCTTAGAGAGGCAAGACGTGTTGGCTTTAAGCAGACAGCTCCGGCGCAGTGGAGAACGCCAGGAGGGAAGGCTAGAGCCAGGTCTTACTTGGCCCAAAGCCTCCTGTGGGAGGCAGCTGAGCAGCCTGGAGCCGCAGAGAGAGGAGGTCGAGGTGGAAGCCCCGGGAAACGAGGATGCTGGCATTTCCGCAGCTGAAGCTCTGGCCCAGCGGCGCTTGGAGATCTCGAAGGGATGAATTCTGAGCCAAGAAGGCCCACTCTGGAGGGCAGAGGGAGGGTCAGGTCCAATCAGCCTCCCCCCAGCCCAGCTTGAGCCCGTCAGGAGCCCACACTCGTTAGCAGCAAGAAAGGGGGGGTCACTCACGGGCCGCCCTGGGGAAGGACACGTTGTAGTCCACCGCCATGTAACTCAGGTAGACCACACTCTGGCTTTGCTGCACGGCCTGGAGGGGAGCGGGAGGCTCAGCGCGGCAGGAGGAAAGCCGGCCGGTCCACAGAGGCAGGAGGGAGGAAGGGGGTGGCAGGCGTGAACACCCAGAGGGGACCCTGTGGACTATACCTGCTTGAATCCAAAGCTGAGATGGCCATAAGGGAATGAGAGGCGCAGGTGGGTATGGGCATCCGCACAGCCACCCTGGACCTTGGTTTTATTGGGGTTCAGTACAGAGATGCCCCAGGCCTGTGGAAGTTAAACAGCAGAGGGTCTTTCGACTGCAATGCCAAAACAAGAAGACTACGGAGCCGTGCATCCAGGGGTCCCTGTCCCCTGTCTACTCTTTTGTTTGTTTTTGGTTTTTCATTTTTATCGGTACCGGGGATCGAACTCATGACTGCCTGCTTGCAAGGCAGGCGCTTATGCCGCTGAGCTAAATCCCCAGCCCTATTTTCTTTTTCCGAGGCTGCTGCCTTACTAAGTAGTTCAGCCTGGCCGTGAGCTGCGCGGCCCAGGCTGGCCTTGGCCTTGCAGCGGTCTGTCTCGGCCTCCGGAGGGCCGTGATTGCAGATTTAACCACCATGCCCTGTACTTCCTCTTTACTCCCTCGGAACCAGGACAGCACTTGCTTCCTGTCCCTGCATCCAGGGCTTTAGCTTTACCTCTCCTCCACCCTGGGTAGGATACAGGACTCGAATCTGGATCTGGGCTTGGAGCCGGACGCAGGGCTGGGACCCGTTCGTCCATGTGTAGTCTCCTACAGCCTCCTTGGAGCCCGGGCTAGGACTTGGCGAGGGCGGCGGCGGTCCCGGGGTAGGGGAGCTGGTGGAGAATCTGGGGCTGGTAGCGGTGCCCTTGCTTGTGGGGTGAACGGTGGTAGCATTTCCAGGCCTGGTGGTGGTGGCTGCTGGACTGTGAGTGTCCGTGGTAGGTCCAGTGGGTGCAGCAGTGCTCATGCTTGTTGGATGAACCGTAGCAGTCCCATGATTGGTGGTGGTGGGTCCATGGCTGGTTGTGGGACTTACTGTGCTTTTCGTAGCAGTAGTGGTCATCGTGAAGGAGGGCAGCAGAGTGGCCGACTTTCTGTGGGGGCAGCCAACCTCTGCTCCCTGGGCTTTCAGCCGAGAGAGGGCGGTCAGCAACCAGGGCTGGGCACCTCCGCAGGCTCCCCCGCTCCGGTCCCGCTTTCTCCTTACCTGTCAGAAGCCCCAGCGAGGCCAAGAGCAGTACAGCCAGCCTCATGATGGACGCCGTGCCGGCACGGTGAGCACTCTAGCTCCGTCTTCTCTTGGAATAGGAGGAAAGCCTCTCACTTCCTATAAAGTAACCCCACCCCCAGCCCCTGATTCAGGCACCGGGGCTCAGCCACCAGTCTTGCTCATTAGTTTTTTCGTAATCAGGAGAACCATTGGCTCTGGCTTCCCTCGTGGGAGGTTATTAGGACAAAGTCAAAGGGATCATGTGAGTAGAGGCGAGTTCTGGGGCGCTGATTCAGGGGAACCCATGCCTCCTGAGCACCACTCAGCACTCAACAAGTGGTTACAGGACCTGCACTGCCAGGGCCCTCTGCAGAGCCAGCCTACGAACCCCAAGGCTGGTTCTTGGTGCTGCTACGTAGCACAGGCTCTCGGGACAGGGACCCGCCTGCCCCAGCAGCCCCAACCGTCAACCATGGCCCTTCAGGGTCACACACGTGCTTCCTCCCAGCCTAAGCACGTGAGGTGCTTGTGACAGTGCAGCCTGAGCACTTCCTGTAGCTCTTGGGTAGTCACATCAAGGCTGGGCAAATAGGGGAGATATACCCAAGTGGCAGGTGGGAGAGGCCAAGAAAGAAGCAGCCCAAACAGGCAGTTTCCAAGTCATTTTATTCAGAATTTTGTTGTTTGTTTCCTGAATCAATAAATACTATACAAAACAATGTAAAAATGGCTACCATTTTCTCTCCCTTGCTCCCCCCACCTGGGGACATCCCCTGCGGACAACCTCACTCAGGAGATTTTGGTCCAGCAAGTGAGATCAAGTTAACTTGTTACACACTCCCCTGGACTTCCCAGGAGATTTGGTCAGGGGAGGGAGAGCCTCTGGGACCTGAGGCAACTAGGTTAAGGAAATGAATTAGTGTTTTTGGGAGGAGACGGCGCCCGGGGCAAATGTACCCCCAAAGAAAAGGGTGTCTAAAATGTTCACGGTTCCTTCTTTTGCCTCAAAAAGTGACATTTATTCAAAGGAAAAAAAAAAAAAAAAAGAAAAAAAAACTTGACAAGATGTCCATCCCTTGGCTCCCCTCCCTCCCCCCTCCAGCTGCTCCTCAGCCCCCCAAAGGCTGAACTCTGGTTGGGGCTAGAAAGCAGAACAGCCCCTCTCAGATGAGGTCGGCAACGTTGAGGGGCATCTCTTCAATGGAGGTGTTATAGAAAGTCTCGATGTCTCGCAGAGTCCTTTTGTCTTCTTCTGTCACCATGTTAATAGCCACACCCTTGCGGCCAAATCTGCCTCCACGACCGATTCTGGAAAACAGGAACAATGCAATAGGAAGAGGGAGGAGGAACAGACGCGGGCTCAGGGGTGTCAGGCAAAGGGAGGCGGGCAGGTACCCGCTGCCTACTGACCTGTGGATGTAGTTTTCCCTGTTTGTGGGAAGATCATAGTTGATGACTAAAGAAACCTGTTGCACATCAATGCCTCTGGCCTAAGTGTAAAAAAGATAAATAATGTTTGCAAATAAAGGCACAATATACCCAGAGGGCACTTCTATACCTGTAGGCAGCCAAAGGAAGGTAAAGGAAACAAGAATCCCCTGTCCCCCGACCTCAGGCATGCCAGATTTTCTTCCAAGTTGCTACTTTCCTGAAAGGGGCACTGACTGGCCTCTTGGAGAGGGAATCACCTTGGATTCTCCTTCCTTTTTCCCAATCTTCAGAATACCCTTCTACTTACCAGCAAGTCAGTGGTAATCAATACTCTGCTGGAACCAGACCGGAACTCCCTCATGATCACGTCTCGTTCCTTTTGGTCCATATCTCCATGCTGGAAGATGGAAGAGAGGATATGGGGAGCGGGTAGGCACAGGGGTTCTGGGGAGACATGGCACTGATACAGCCTTTGACAAGAGAGAAAATTCACCATGGCAGAGACAGTGAAGTCTCGGGCATGCATCTTCTCAGTGAGCCAATCGACCTTCCTTCGGGTGTTGATGAAGATGACTGCCTGTGTGATGGTCAGGGTCTCATACAAGTCACACAACGTGTCCAGCTTCCATTCCTGGATAGGAAAAAAAATGTATCAGTAAGGGCAGCATCCAGCGCCTGGTCACCAGGCCGGCCTCAGACACTGCACCCACCTCTCGCTCCACATTGATGTAGAACTGGCGGATACCCTCTAGGGTCAACTCTTCTTTCTTGACGAGAATCCGAATAGGGTCCCGCATGAACTTCTTGGTCACCTCTAGCACATCAGAAGGCATTGTAGCTGACAACAAAACTACCTATTGGAAAAAAGACAATCCATAAAATGTCCTACAATACTGCCCTACAATTTAACCTGGCTACATCTTAATCAAATTAAGGAATCACTGGCTATTACTTGTAAGATGGCACTTTTCTTTACCTGGGTGTTGCTGTTGAGCTTTTGGAATATATCATAAATCTGATCCTTGAATCCACGGCTCAGCATTTCATCAGCTTCGTCTAACACGAACATCTTGATATATTTGGGAGCTACAAGGCAGACAAAAATACCAACATAATCAGACAAACATGAAGCTTTTACCCAACTCTCTGGATTAAAAGGGGAGGGAAGGCAGTCTGCTCTCAGAATTTAAAAACTGATCCTTTGCCCATGACTTCCCCCAACATGATGGCCCTGGGAAGTAGAACACTACCTGGGCTATAAGAGGAAAGCCAGGCTCAGATGACACGCATGGGCTTCATCACAGAGCAACTATTTTAGGGAAAAGAAAACTAGCATCCTTGGAAATGAGACTTGGCTTAATTAAGCTGAACGCCTGGGAAACAAGGACTCGACAGAAACGACCCAGGGAATTATGAAGTACTCACATAGGTATCTCCGGTTAAGCATATCAAACACGCGGCCAGGGGTTCCCACAATGATATGAGGAGCTTCCATCTGCAGCTTCTGTACCTCAGCGCGCACATTGGTACCCCCAATACAGGCATGACATGAGGCACCCATGTAATCTCCTAATGCCATGACCACCTTTTGTATCTGAATCAAGAAAAAAAAGGTATTCATCTGTTAACTCTGACCACACCTAGGTTCCTGTTTTTTTAAATGTTTTTTTTTTACAGCTCAGGGTGGCCTTAAACTCCGTATGTAGCCCAGGCTAGCAAGGAATTTACTGATCCTCCTGTCTCAGCCTATCAAGTACTGGGATCCCAGATGTGCACCACCACACTCAGCTAGGACCTGGGACCTGATTCTTTATCTTAATGTCTTTTATGTATTCAACCTTCAAATGTGCATTACTACAAAACTCACTTTGGAAGAACATCAGGGGCAAAAGGCAACCAGTAGTTTTCCTTAAAAGAGGCATGGTAGGTGCTGGGGGTGGTGGCTCACACCTGTCCCAGCACTCGGGAGGCTGAGGTGGGAGGATGGTTGGGAGTCTGAGACCAGCCTGGACTACAAAGTGACCTCAAGGCCAGCCTGAACGGCTTAACAGGCATGGTGACACAAGCCTGGAATCCTAACATTCAGGAGGCGGAAGCAGGATTATCATAAGCTTGAGGTCAACTCAAAACTACATAGTAAAAAAAAAAAAAAAAGACAACAAAACCCCAAAACAAAGCAACCACCGCCTAGAGCAGTGATGGTGAACCTACCATACACAGCAGACTGAATCATTTTTTGAAAGCTCTACATAGTTTGCCAACACTGGCTAGACAATTTTGATTTGTTTCCCAAGCACATAGATTCCTAATAAACGCTTCGTACTTCTATAGGACACATACATATCCCTATGTCTACAATATTGTGGCTGAAGTTCACATCACCATAATCTGTTATCTGCTATTAATCTATTGAGTTCTAATTCATTCCCCTTCAAGACCCAATAAGAGAACAGAGACCAAGATTAGGATTTTATGTGCCCTAGGCATGAAACAGCTTTAGCTACCAACCCAGGCATGAAGCTAGGATGAACAAAGGACTGTCATCTCTTCTGCCCCTGACTGATGTAAGAACACCACCACCAGTGAGGTGTCTCTTTGCCCACTGCCAGGGGGTTCCTTCACTAAACAGCTACCAAACTGGCCCAGCCAGCCAGGCCCCACCCAGCAACCTTCCCATTTAACTCAGGAAATGGGTGGAGTAAATGGTGACTATGATGCTTAGGTCAAAAGCAGCTTATAATTAAACCCAGCAGATTCTGAGAGCTACATGCCATCAACCCACTTCTTACCCTAAGTGTGTCTTCACTTGACTGGTCAGAGAATGCACCTGACTTTTGGATTATGCCTATCATTGTTAAAGCAGCCTTCAGGAAGAAGGAAAAGAAGCCACTCTTACCTGCTGAGCCAATTCTCGAGTTGGAGCCAGAACTAAAGCCTGAGTAGCCTTTAGATCTAACTCAATCTGTTGTAGAATTGATATGGCAAATGTGGCCGTTTTCCCAGTTCCAGACTGGGCTTGAGCAATTACATCATAACCTGAACAGACAAATTTAAAGGTTAGATGTGACAGAGGATAAACACTGTGGTCTCACAGATACTCAAGGTCTAACTTCATGAGATCAATAAGCACCAACAGTTATAAACTAAGCATTAAGTGCTTTTTAAATCACTTTACAATACAGTGACACAGTAAGAACAGATCACAAGACAAGGTCAGACCACTCATTCAGTGATACCACACCAAGTTAAGCCAGAAATAACAATTCTTTTTTTTTTTTGGTCTTTTTCCTTTTTATCGGTACTGAGAATCGAACTCACGACTGCCTGCTTGCAAGGCAGGTGCTTATGTCACTGAGCTAAATCCCCAGCCCCAGAAATAACAATTCTAAAAGCTTAAAAAACAACAACAAAACCCCCCCCCAGCAACCCATGTGCCTAAGAGGAGAACCAGACACGGGCACAGATAGAGTCAAATCAAGCTGGGATGACCAAGGAATTGTTCTACCTTTTAATGAGAAGTGCCAGCTGGATGCTCTGCTATTCAGATCAGTTTCTATCTGTATTTTAAGGCTGTGAGAGCTCACCCTTGATACAAGGAAGAATGGCACGCTGCTGGATGGCAGAGGGTTTCTCAAAACCATAGGCGTAGATGCCACGAAGGAGTGACTCTGAGAGGTTCATATCATCGAAGCTGTCAACAATCTCATTCCAATTACTCTGCAAGAAGCAAAGAAATTAAAACCTAAGTAGTGGAAAAGGAGCTGGTGCAAATGAGATGTGTCTGCAACGTCCCACAGCCTCTCCTCTCCATCCTCCAGGGAAGCCAGACGGTTGTAGGCACTGGGTAAACACTTCTAAGAGGCTAGTCCACTCAACTCCACATACCTATGAAGTTGGGAATTCTAGAGATGAGAACAAGACTCAAAACCACATGTTTCACAGACATCTTCAGGAATGTAAGATGTCCCACAATAGGCCGTATTACTAATCAAGCTTCAGTTCCTTAACTAGCATTTCAGGAACAAGGAAGCACTGCTAGTGACACAGTCCTTTCTAAAGAGGTGGTGTCAGGTTCCAGTCTCACCTCAATGACGCCTTCGGGCTCCATCCCATCTGGGCCATTGTCTCTGGATCTGTTGATTTAAAGCATGAGTTTTGTCCCCCTGCCTGAATGAAGCACTTTGGCAACCAGCCATGCATAATGCCATCAGGCCTTGCCCCGCATCCAGCCCAAATTCCCACCAGTTCCCAAGACACTCACAAGTCACTTTAGGAATGAGCCAGGCCTTTGCCCCATCTCGGGAGCGGCTCAGGGTGAGTAGCCCGCCCCCGACACGAGGTAACCCTCTTTTGAGGACCCTAGGGTTGGAAGGCTTTGCTGCCACGCAGAAGTGGCCAGGATGCAGAGCTAGCTGCGAGGCCCACGTGTGCCGGCCTTGGTTGCTCAAAGCCCAAGCGCGTGCACCTCCCACCGAAGCATCAGAGCGCCGGAAGTCCCGCCCTTCATCGCCCAGATGGAGGGCAGGACATCCCCTTCCCCCACGTCATTCCGCCCGCGCCCTCCCCCACCCCATCCAGCCGAGTCCCCCCCTCGCAGTGCCCGGATGTGGGAGGCCGCGGGCGGTGGCGGCCTCGCGCACAATGAGCCCCAGCCGAGCTAGCAAAGAGGAAGATTGCACAACACTTAGCAGCGAAGCAGAATGGGGGAGGGGAACCCCTCAGGCCGCCATGTGCTCGCTCCCTCGACCACCCAGCGGCGTCTCGCCCCCCGCCCAAGGAACAATCCACATCCCGCCCGCCCCCGTCGCGAATTGGCGTCGCCCTCCCATACCTCAGGCCGCTCACCCCCGAAGGAAAGTGGACCTGCCCATCCGCAGTTTGCCAATTGCCCGGCTTGTGCGGCAAAATGGACCCGCCCGCCCGACGCCGGGTGGGCTCCTGGTGCCTCACGCGGCCGCTCCTCGGGGTTAGGCTCAGTCCTGGCCGTCAAGAAAACCAGCACACTGAACGGCCGGCTTCTTCTCCCGACCCACGTTACCACCGCGACGTGCCGAGGGCCGGGCACCCCCGCCACTCGCGAGTGGTACCGTCAGGACCCTCCGGAGCCGCGCGCGCCCCCCAACACAGCAGGCGACCGGAGCGGTCGGCCCGGGCCGCGCGGCCGCCCCCGCCTCTTTCCCACGCTAGGTCGCGACCTCGTCTCGCCAGTCAGCGCCGGGGCTTCGTGCACAGCGCCGCCCCAGGTCGAGGCCTCACGAAGACCCTCGCGCGCTCCGCCCCAGCCGGGATGTCCTTTCCTCTGGCCCGGCGGCACGGTCGGCCGTAGACTTTCCCCTCGCCCCCCGGACGGCTCCTCCCGCTGGGCCTTCCCGCACCCCCGACGGGCCTGGGGCGGGGGCACCTCCCGGCCCGCCGGAAGGGCCCTCCGAAGGGAACAGCGGGGTAAGTAGCCACCTCCTCTTACAGACGCCTTTCTTACCGGGAATCCTGACTCGCAGACATGATCCTTAGGAACTAGGGCGGAGTGCCCGCCTATCGACAACTTATAGAGCAGCCGACCCCGCCCCGGCTAGCGCATTGGCCTGGCAGCCTCGTCCCCGCCTGCCGGCGCGCTGCAAGTCGGCATGACGTCAGCCGTACGCGCTGTAATCCGCAGCCGTCATTGGGCAGCTCGAGCGCCTGTCAGGCTGCGGGCCCGCCCCTGCCCTCCATTGGCCAGGGAGCCCGTCTTTCTCGCCGGCACGGAAGTGACACACGGGTGTCAGGCCGCGAGGCCTGGCCGCCATCTTGCGGCCCTGCACCCTTACACGTGCGGAGGTGGGCTTGTCCCGCCCACGTGACTCGGCAGGCCCTATCAAGGCAGGGGGCGAAGGCCTTGGCCTCCAGGGACTTCCGGGCTGCCGCTTCCGCTTCTCTCCGCTCCCGCGTCCGCAGGACCCAAATTTCTTATCTGTTCTCCCTTGCAGGAGCGACCCGACGCCCGGGCGTGTCTTAAGTAGCAGTTATGACAAAATCAGACGCGACATCCCAGACCCTGGAGGATGCCTGGCTGGGAGGAGGCGGCAAAGGGCCTGTTTCCAGGGTAAGGGCCGGCCTATTGGATAGACCTGGCCGGCTCCGTTCAGTCCTGTCCCCAACCCTCTCTCTGAACCCCTTAGTTTTGAAGCTTACCTACGCTACCTTTTTCCTGCCCTTTGCTCCCAAAGCTGGGAATTTGTCTTGGGTTGCACAGATGGGGTACTGACATTGCCCGACTCAGGTGTGAATTAGCTAGCTTCTGTGGCCTCGGAGCACATTAGGGCCCCTTTTTGTCTTTTTTAAGACAAAGTGTCACTATATAGTTCAGGCTAGCCTTGAACTTGCTTTGATCCTCCTGCCTTAGCCTTCTGAGTGCTGGGATTACAAGGCGTGCGCCACCATGCCCAGCTAGCTTGAGGCCCTTAAGGAAGACCAACACTTACGAATCTCCAAAGGATCCTTTATTAACCAGAGCAGGACCGTGGCATTTATATATATATATAAAAAAAAGTTTGAAGATCTGGCAGGCAGTAATCCCTTTGCGCCCCCCACCCCACAAGGATTTCCTGCCCCCTGTGCATGGAAGGGGGATGACTGCTCCACCCAGGCCACAAGGCAATACTCCTCGGCAAAGAGGAAGGGAAGAGCTGTCTGTGGCCATTCCCTGCCTATCAGAAATCAAGAAGTATTCTCTCAAAGAAAAAAAATACAGAAATCAAAACATTTTAAATATGAAAAAGGATGGGTTGGGAGGCGAGAGACAAGAGGAAAGGAACTGGAGTTTCTCGGGAAGGGTATCCCACGGCCCCCTGCCCATTGATGGGCCCAGGGCCTGGGGTACGAGGCTCACACAGTGAGTTTGCAGTGACACAGCTCCTTGTAGATCTGCCGTCGAAGTTTCGGCATGTCCTGCTGGGTGAAGCTGAATGGCTGAGACAGGGCCAGGTGCTTGCAGTACTGGGTGTTAACAGAGCAGGCCATGAGAACCATCTACTGAACACCCCTCGCAAAGCAGGACCAGTGCTGCGTATTACATATGCTGATGTCCCAGTCCCCAGTTGACATAGAGAAAGCAAGGGTCTTACAGTCTCATAGTGGGGGATTCAAAAACAGCCCGACTGTAAAACAACTGTTCTTAATACACAATTCATTTATGGTGTGAGAACAAATACACTGAGTCAGGGTTTAGGAGATAGCTCAAGCCAAGAGTCACGAGACCAGCCAGTCTCACTGTGGGATGAAGAACCCAATGAAATCGGGGCTTTTGTGTTAATACATAAGGCTACTTCCTACCCCACAGCTGACTGTGAACCAGTGAGGAAAGCACCTCCCAACACTTCAACCCAACTGACTCCAGAGCTGGAGGAGAAGCAAGCCCCAGTCACCTTACCTGCAACACAAAGGCGCCACAATCACTGTCATTATTCTGCCTGGCCACATTCTACAGAACAGAAAGGAAGACCCCATTCACTTGGGGACTCCCAGGGCTCTGATTTAAATGTCCACCAACTACAACTACCCTCACAATCACCTCATTCCCCCACAGTTGGAAACTCACCATTTTGAAGTAACCTTTCCAACCCTGGTGGAAATCCAGCCGGTCTTTCTTCACTGCCTCTGCTTGTAAATACTTGGCAATATGCTAAGTGAATGAAGAAAAAGATCAAGTTATGTCCACCCCCAGAACCCACAGTATGGTGGTGGCAGGTCATGCCTCAGAGACCCCAAACCCATCCTCCTTCCTGGAATGCCTTGCCGCAGGATCCCCCTGCATTCTACCTTGTCCCTGCCTCCACCCCTCAAACCTTAGGGCAACGGCGGTTTAGGGTGCGCTGTGAGTCAAAATAGGTGATGGTACGTCGCCTCACGTCCACGGAGATGAGAGACCAATGCACCTCCAGGTGTATGGGGATCAGCAGTAGCTCCTTATTGAAGATGTCCACCTGAAGAAAGAGCCCAAAGGTTAGGCACAACACACAAGGATCCTGGTAATTGCCATGAAGTCTGAAAAAGGAAATAAGGCAAGAAAGCCAAGTGTGAGAACATATGATACAGGCCCTGAATTGTGAGGTAAGACACACCTAGACCTTTACATTCTTAAGAGAGTAAGGGAAGGTGCTGGGGATTTAGCTCAGTGGCGTAAGCACCTGCCTTACAGGCAGGGGGTCGTTAGTTTGATCCCTGGTACTGATAAATAAGAAAAAGATTTAAAAAAAAGAGTAAGGGAAGTACAAACAGGCAGTATCACACAGAACACACAATTGCCAGACAGCTGTCACCTGTCAAAGGAAGTACTTAACAGGCTCAGGATTCTCTTTTTCTTTTGAGACAGGGCCTTGCTATGTGAGCCAGGCTAACCTTGAACTCCTGGAGATACTCCAGTCTCAGTCCCTTTTGAATCCCGGGAGTACAGGCTGGCACCACCACACTCGACATCCAGACTCAGGACTCTGCAGCTAGACTGCCAGAGTGCTAATCTCCACTTCCTGCCCATGGCCATGGACAATGCACTTAAAACTTTTCTATACCTCAGTGGCCTTACTGTTAAGAGGATCAAAATAGTGGTACCCACCTTCTTCCATTTATTGTGAAGAATCAACTCATTAAACATACATACTGAGAACAATACATACAGCCCAAAGTAAATGCTTAATCAGTTAATGCTCACAATAATCATAGCACACATTCTCAAGTTTAATATCAGATAAGGAAACAAGTGACTTTCCTGGGGGGGACAGGGTCTCACTATGCCATTCAGGCTGGCCTTGAACTCACTTTGTAGCCTAGCCTAGCCTCAAACACAGAGATCCTCCTGTTACAGCCTCCCAAGCACTGGAATTACAGGCATGCGTCACCATACCCTGCAGCAGGAACTTTTTGTTGCTGTCTTCCTTTTTTTTTTTTTTCTTTTTTGGTTTTTTTGAGACAGGTCTCACTGTGTAGTTCAGGCTAGTTTTGAACTATTAGCCCATAGGCTGACCTTGAACTAGCAGTGATACTCTTGTCTTGGCCTGCCAAGTGCTAGCATTATAGGTATGCACCACCACACCTGGCAAGAGCAGTTAACTTCTTGCTCAAAGTCCCAGAAAAAAATGGCAAAACTTTTTTTTTTTGGTCTTTTTTTATCGGTACCAGGGATGAAACTCAGGACCACCCACTTGCAAGGCAGGCGCTTATGCAGCTGAGCTAAATCCCCAGCCCCAACTCTTTTGTTTTTGAAAGAGGGTCTCATTATGTAGCTCCTCCTGCCTCATCCTTAATAGACTAAGATTAGAGGCATATGCCACCCACACTAGGTTACAAGGAGTGATTTTTTGTTTGGGTTTTTGTTTCTCAGGGTTTTACTATGTAGTTCAAACTGGCCTTGAACTCACTATGTAGTCTAGGCTGACCTCAAACTTGCAGCAATCCTCCTGCTTCAACCTCTAGAGTGCTGGAATTATGGGCATATGCCACTATACCTGTAAGAGGCAAGATTTTTAACTTGGTATATATAAAAAGCTAATTTCTTTTCATAGTATGCCCTCCCTGCCTTTACTGGAAGAAAGAGACCCACCAGGTCCCTGAGCATATAAACTTTTATAACCTGAGCACAGAAATTTCAAAATGGGCTATATAGCTGAACATGGTTACCTCCTGTAATCATAGCTGAGGCGGGAAGACCCACACACAAGTTCAAGGCTAACCTGAACTACATAAGCAAGACTCTGTTTCAAAAAACCAAAGAGGCTAGAGATTTAGCTCAGTGGCATAAGCGCCTGCCTGGCAAGCATGAAGTTGTGAGTTCGATCCCCAGTATGGAAAAAAAAAAAAACCCACAATGAGATGGGCGTGTTTCCACATGCCTGTTATCACAGTATTTAGGAGGGTGAGGTAGGAGGATCACTGTGAGTTCCAAACCAGCCTGGTAAACAGTGAGTTCAAGGCCAGTCTGAACTGCATAGTGAATCTGTCTCAAAAAAGACAAATTCAAGGAATCCTCAAGCCACTTAAAACTTCAATGGCAGGGCTGGGGGTTTAGCTCAGTGGGGTGCCTGTTTGGCAAACTCAAGGTCCTGAGTTCAATCCCCTAGTCCCACCCCTAAAAAAAAAAAACCCAACAACTTGAATGGCTTCTCAGGACACACAGAATACATTCTACCTTCCTTTCCCCGGCCCAATCTTCTATCATTCTTCCTTTGCTCACTCTGCTAGGAGCACACAGGCCACACATACAAGCCCTGTGTTCCTCAATCAAGTTTTTTCACTGGGTTTCCTGTACTTGCCTAGAACACTGTTCCCCCAGATCTGCATATGGCTAGCTTCCCGTCATTCAAGCCTCAGCTACAGGAGACCTTCTTAGACATCCAAAAGAAAGTAGTACTTTTATGCTACCACATTACTGCCTGGAGGATAGTTCAGTAATATAGCACGTGCCTGACGTATGAGGTTCTAGGTTTGACCCCAAGCACCACCAAAAAAAGCTATTACATTATTGTTTTAACCTGTTCACAGCACGTATCACTAAGTGAAATATAACTTGCTTATTCTCACTCTATTAAGGCAAGAAATTTAATACTGTATCCTTAGTAACACAATGCCTAGCACACATAAGATGTTTAATATTTGGAAGACTGGACAGGGTTCATAGAAACCAAAAGGCTAATTCTTTAGATCCAAGATGCTACACAGTAGATATGAATTCATAACTCACATTTTTGGTCCACCTTTTCACCCCATCATAACCCTTGGTACGGAGTTTATCGTAGAAGAAACTGTTGAAGAAATGCACCTGTGCCATGACACAAAAACAGCTGGATGGAATTTAAAGACCTCAGAGCTTCCCATCAAGTTTCCCCTCCCTCCTCCCAGTCCATTCCATTTCATGTGGCTCAAATGATTGGTTCCACCAACCCGCACTGCAGTTCACTAACCAAAAAAGTACTGTTTACGAGGGTTAGGGATTTAGCTCAGCGGCATAAGTGCCTGCCTTGTAAGTGCATAGTCATGAGTTCGATCCCCGGTACCAAAAAAATTTTTTTTGAATATTAACATATACTACCCCTTCCCTAAAAAAAGAGACCTTCTTTAAAACCTGCTTAGAATTACAGAAGTTCATTAAGGGAGTTAATTATCTGGCCTACCTTTTCAGGGACTGTGTCCATGACCAGGTCTCCATACATGTTCATCACCTGGGAAGAAGATGGGAGGCAACTTGCCATAGAGGGTGTGGCGTGGGTACAGGGCTCTCCACAGAGAAGTCCCAGACACCCTGCTCCCTGAACCTCCTCTCAGGCCTGTCTCTCTCCCTCTTCTCACCTGGTCATTGAGCCAGTTCTGTCCATACAAGGTCCCCAAGTCATCCATAGTCAGCACGTGCCGCTTGTAGGACACCCGGAAGCCTCTCACCATAGCATTGCCTGGCATCCGCTGATATGACTGGATCAGCTGTAGAACCAAGCCCTTCCTGAGTAGACAAAGGGGGAGCCACATAAGAGATGATGGGAGGCCATGGAGCGTACAGACATGCCTTTTAGAAACACCTATTACTGCCTTGAGTAAAAAATCTAAAATGATTTTTTTGGGAGGGTCATTTTTTATTTATTTATTTATTTATTTATTTTAATCGGTACCTGGGATCAAACTCACGACCACTCAGGACCACACACTTCCAAGGCAGGCGCTTAGGCCCCTGAGCTAAATCCCCAGCCCCAGGGGAGGGTCTTTTTGACACAGGGTCTCACTATGCAGTTATACAGTTCAGGACAGCCTTGCCTTTGTTTACTTTGTAATCCAGGCTGGTCTCAAACTCTCACAAAGACCCTCCTGCCTTAGCCTCCCGAGTGCTTGGATTACAGGCATGTGTCACCATGGCAGACTTTAAAATGATTTTTCCCCACCTTGTCACTGGTTCTTTTGAGGACGTCCTAAAGGGCCACACCCCAGAAAGAGGCAAATGAATACGTATTTCAAGGTCCTTGATAGAGGCCCTCCCAGGTGATAAGGCTGCCCCTTGCTTCCAGATCTCTCCCCTTAAGTTCTAGCTTTCTCCTCTCCAGTACATCCCTGTGAGAGAAGCAACAGTACTCTCTCTCCATACCTTAGGGCCCTGCCCTCCTTTGAGGAATATCTGTCCTTCCAACCTCACCTTGATGGTGTAGAGAACTCCTGCTGGAAAATGTCCTCCAACTTCTCTACCACCTCATCAGTGCTGAGGGGGATGAGGCTGCCATAAGTCTGCAGGAATTCATCCAAGATGCCTGAGTGGAGGAAGGAGAGAGGAAAGTGTCACTGTCACCTAGGAATTGGCCAAGGAAAGGAAACTAGGTCCTCTAAGGCTTACTCTGCACACAGGTCACATGTTCTTCCCGCAGGGGGCTGTGCTGGCCAGCTTTCTCCCCAGGCCGCTCTGCTTCTTCTGCAGTGCTCAAATCAGAGCCCTGAAAAAGTTCCTGAGCCACATGGTCCCCAATGCTGCACACATTGCTGATGAGGATGCTGGCATCAGGGGGTACTAGGCCACGCTCCCCTTCTGGCCCAGGTGGTCCCCCAAAGCCATTGGGTAGAGTACATGAGAGGAGACCTATAAGGAAACGGAATTAGGATCGAAATGAGAAATTGACCCAGTTAAAAAAAGGAAAGGATTAACTGATGCATATAAATGATAAAATCACAAGGATGGACTAAAGCACAATCTACCAATTTAAACTTTAAGGAAGAGACCCCAAAACATTAGATAAAGATGTCTCGGTTTCTAAAGAGAAAGTGACAATTCCTATAGAAGAAAAAGAAAGCACAAACCATAAATTTTAGCGGTATCCCTACTGTACACTTAACACCTAGGTTAGTAACCAGGATATAATAAAACCTCAGTAAGTACTTGACTAGTAATATTTTTTGGCTAAGGTTTTCTAAAGGCAAAATATTCTGAGTAATAATGTCACAGACAAACGTATGGATGATACAATCCCTCTAAAGAGATATCCCAGTTCAGCACCATAAAAAGGCATCCTCTGGAGATGAACACAGAGGATCTTGAGGGGAGCAAAAAGAATTTGAAGTGGGCAAGATTGATTTTCCTACACCACAGCACCCTTTATTCAGGGATTGTTTTCAGCTATGTCTCCTTGATTTATTTCCTACTCAAAGTAAGTAGGGAACAAGCAGACATCTCTGAGTTATTCTGGACCTTTTAGCTTGTTTTCCTTAGGCTTAGCTCTCACCACAGCAAGAGGTTCCTGGTGCTCCAGGCTCTTAGCCCTCCCCACTCCACCCTGGCCCCTTTCCCACCTTACCCGAGTCAGGGTCCAGAGGAGACTTTGGAGTCCACCTCAGTCCATCTTCCTCCATGGGGGGCCCAGAGGGCACTGGTGGAGACCCTCTCACCCCATCCTCAGCCATGAGAGCACCTAGCAGACCCAGTCGGGGCGGGGGTGGCCCCCTGGGGGAGTCAAAGCGACAGCAGGGGGATGGCACCTGTGGCGTTGCACCCCCTTCCTGGGGTGAGAGATGGTTCTTAGGGTGTGCGAGGCTCCTCCGTCGGCCCCGATGGCGCCCCCAAAGCTTCCAGTGGAATGTCAGCGAGGTGCTTTTGGAGTAGAGCAGCATCTGGAAGGCTCTCATGGCTCTGCGGCGGCGCTGTGAACAGGTTTTTCGATGAGTGGGGCGGGGAGGGCGAGACCGCTGGGAGGCTCCCAGTTGACTCCATCTGGGGTGCAGCCTCCAAGCTGCCACTTCCTCTTCCTCATCTTCATCTTCTTCCTCCTCCTCCTCTTCCTCCTCTTCACTAGCCGAGGCATCAAAAGAGGGCCGAGGAACAGGGAGACGTCTGGCTGGCACTGTGGTCCCTGATCCAGGATCTGGCCCAAATCCTCCACCTGACTTGAGCCTTGGTTTAGGGGGTGGGGGCCAACGAAGCCGCTCCCGCCTGGGGCTTGAGTAAGCTGTACCGGGTCTAGGAGGCTCAGGCCCCCAAGACCCAGTCCCTTGTATAGTCTCTTTCATCTTCCAGTACCCTGTAAAACATATCAGAATCTAAGTATGCTCTCCATCCAGATTCTGCTTCATCCACCATATGCCCCCTCTGAAGTCAAAGCAAATAAACTAAAGAAAGAAGAAAACCCGCCACAAAACTCATAGTTTTAATTCTTCCCGGCTTCAGAAGGGGCTCTTTAGAGTCTGTGTCATTGCCTCTTCTTTGCCTAGGTACAAACAAGGGAAAATGGCTAAGCAGCAGGCCTCAGAGGGCTTATTTCTCAGAAGCCTGGGTAATGCCCAGCATCTTTAGGTCCTACTTCTCCTTTTAATTCCACCAATACTGTCCTATGAAAGCTTAGTACCCATAAGAGTGATTTAGCGCTGGAAAATGGCTCAGCACAGGAATCTTAAGCAGTATAGAGGTATCTGCGGATAACAACTTTCATAACAAAACTATGCTCTCCATTATGGGAAGACAGTTCCTTTCTCCCCTGGAATGAATGAGGTGGCGAAGGTGTATGGGCCACCTGAGGTCATCTCAGGTGCAAATGGGAGTACCAGGCTTATGGCTCGGGGGTGAGTCTGGTGTAGGGGTAAAGAGTTTGAAGCAAACTGAAAGGGAATCAACTTAGTGCTTAGGTGACCAAATCACGGCGCTAGGACAGCTGAGCCGCAAGACCCTGGTCGGACCGCTCCCACGCCCGCCCCAACTCCAGGGACAAGAATGCGTCCCAGCACGTGTATGGTCCTATAAGCTCGGAAGGTTGGGGTACGAGGGCCTTAAAAAACCTCACCAAAGGCCTCTTGGGCCGGGTTAGGTGGCAGCGAAGACTAGGAATGGAAGAGACCACTACAGGGCGGGGGGAGGGCAAGGGGCGTCCTCACCGGGAACAGGGAAGCCGGGCGGACAGGCCCGAGGGCGGGCGTCTCTGCCTCAGGCTTCCCGGCTCATCTCTTAAGCGCCGGCGGCAGCCCCGCCACTCCTGCTGTCTTCAGGCGCCGCCGTCTCAATTCAGGCTTCCAACGCTTCTAGGCCGCGCGCCCCGCCGAGTCGCTCCACCTCGGCCACCTCTTGCTCGGCTTCAGCTTCAGCCTCCACCTCCACCACTATCACCTCCCCCACCTCCTCCCCCTCCCGCGATCCCCAGGCCCACCGGCGGTGGCGGCGCACGATTAATACGTCACACCTGGCGAAAGGCGCCGGCGCGGCCAAAACGTCCCCAGTCCCCGCCCACCCGATAAAGTAGATGCCACGGGATCAGCTGGCCTCGGAGCGCCACGCCAGGCTGCGCATGCGCACCCCACCAACCTGGCGGCGTGTGACGGCCGGTAGCTCCTACGCGCCTGCGTGTCGCGGCCCGCCTGTCGCCCTGCGGCTTGGCCCCGAGGCGTTCCGCGCGTTTGGGTTTGAGTCTGAGGTACCCAGGACGCTGACTTAGTGGGGTACAGCGGAGCGAAGGCAGGCGGGCGGGGAGGGCTCGTTAAGGGCTGGCCCGAGCCGAGGCACTATGGGAAACGGAGTCGGATATCACTCATTCACTTTTATTTAACTTTAAGCGAGCATTGAGCATTAGAGCTCAGAGAACTGAGGCAAGAACAATGCCAGGACGGACATACGACATGGAAGGCTTCCTCGGAAGTCCCACCCCGGAGGGACTTGAAGTGGCCTTCTACGCTACGGTAATGGAAAGCGTGAACGGCAAACATAGGGCCCGAAGAATAATATGGCTGCAAAAGGGACCCATCTTTGTCGTCGGGCATCTGCTGCAGACGGACGCATAATAAATGCTTCTCTGGAGACAGTGACGGAAACGATTGCCCAACAGACAGAAGTGAAGATGAGGCTTATTGTTCGGTGAAAAGTTGAGGGTACCTGAAAAGAGGCGTGGTATGGGGAAGTAGGGATTTTCCCGAGCCGAAGGAGGCTTCCGGGACTTTTGCCAAGAGGCAGGATGATTCCCTCAATCAGCCGCTAGATGGTGGTGCTGTCCTGGATGCATTCCAAGGGACCCGTAGCAGGTCTGGACAATGCCTGGCACCCTCCTTCCAACTCCCACAAACAAGAATTTAGGGCTGGATGGGCGATAACAGCAAGATAGTCTACCTCTTTAATACCTGTTAACTCAGAGTCTAGGGTGTGGGAGAGGCAAAGAAAAAGGGAAGAATAAAGTCATGAAGTTAAACCCAAGTAGAGGTTTCTCTTCCCGTCCGTTTTGTCTAGCCAGCTCCTTGCTGTCTCCAGTATGTTACCACACTTGCCTTCCCCGCTCAGAACCACCTTTTATGACACAGTCACAGTTTCACAAGCCCCAGGAAGGTTCCATGTGGAGAAAGGCTAAGTTTTGCCTTTGCCCGGGGAATTACAACACTGAGAGTATCTCCTTGGTGTAAATGGAAGACACCTGAGAAAAGAGAGCAAACAGGTGCTCAGTGAAGCGCAACCATCCACACGCTCTGATGTCTTACTCTGCAGAGTTCTCTGGCTCCATCTTTACTTCTTCCTGTAAGAATCTAGGCATTCTGTCCTTTGCCCCTCAGATCTGCCTCTCACCCAGGCCTCCAACCCCCCACTGTGTTCTCCACACCACTACCCCCAATCGGAGGTCCCACTCTGCTCACATCTATCCTCCGCTGCCCACATGGGTCTCACCTGCACTGTAGCAGCTATTGTAGGCCCTGTCAGGGTCAGAGGGCATGCTGCGTATACATCGAAATAGAGTCTCCCGCCTTCCCTGGCCTTCCCGAGATACTACCTGACCCATGGTGAAAGTCACATCATGAAACAGGACCTGGCAAGGAAGAGAGAACATACTGAAGACAATCAGAATGGCATGTCTCAGTTCTGAGAGGCCTTAGATGCACTGATGTGGGAGCCAGGGAACAAAGTTTGGTACAGAGAGATCAGGAACCCTCAGTGCAGGTCACAGGCTCTAGGAGAAGAGTGCAGAGTCATCCTCCAGACCCCTGTAAAAAGCTAGGGTATGTCTCGGGTTACCTGGCTATACAGCAGATAAACTCCAGTGTCCCAGACTCGAACAACACATCCTTGGGCCTCCAGACCTCTCCCACGCCTAAGAGCTGGCTGCCATGTCACCTCTGTCACATCAGAATCCTCTGGAGGTGAGGAGTGTGACTGTCAGGATTTCTTGGCACTTTGAAATACACACCAGCTCTCCCCTTTTTAGCTCTGATTCTTTTGGGCCCAAATGCCAGCCCCAAGGTCCTGGGTTGTGCCTCTCCCCCAAAGCCATTATTATTATTTTTATCGGTACCAGGGATCGAACTCATGACTGCGCACTTGCAAGGCAGGTGCTTATGCGGCTGAGCTAAATCCCCAGCCCCCGAAGCCATTATTTAAAATAGTGCTCACCCTTGGATGTAACGTTAATGGGAACAAGGTGCAGAACTGAGCTCCTCTCTGAGGAAAGAAGGAGGAAATCACAGCAGTGTCCACCTGCCCACAAGCCCTGGTGTTCAGCCTCTCCCCTTGCCCAGGCTTGGGCTTGCAGTCCCCATCACTTCCCGCCCCTGCTGTGCCCAAGGGCTCACTCTTCCGCTTCTGGGTGAGCACTGCTCTCTTCCTCCTCCATCTCGCCCCATTCTCCCAGGCTTCCAGGACATCAGGCCTCTGCTCACGGAAGGAAGGTCAGCATTAGACTAAGATGAACAGGTCCCAGAGAGCGAGCTTTCTCAGCTTTCCACCATGCCAGGAATGCCTCAACTCTCCTGCACTTTTCCCCAGCACTCTGTGCTTTGGTACTGGCTGCCCTCCAAGATCTGTTAGGTAAAGAAGCGTTAATTGTTAACAGTTTCCTTTCCTGGAATGGCTGCTCCTTTGACTTCTATACCTAGGACCCTCTCTTACATCCACTTGAAACTTTGTAGACTGGGAAGTTGGAACCAAGGGCCCCAGAGATCCCACTGCCACCCATCTTAGCTCCCCCCAACTGCTCTTTCCCCCCAACTCACCTGCTCGCCGAGACTCTGCCAAAGAGACCCTTCCCCTTTCTGGGAGGGTGCTGCGCTCCTCTGTAGCTGGCTCACTTCCCTCCTTAGGTTTCTCAGCTCTGTTTGTTGGGTCAGCAGAGCAATGGCACAAGCAACAGCTCCTAGAGCTGCCCCCCAACTCAACCAGAGAGCAACTGAGAGTGCCGACTCTCGTACCGTGCCCCCCATGTTGTCCAGGGGGCCTTTGGGGGACAGCGAGAAAGATGAGGCTGGCATGAGCCAGGGACCCTGCCAACAGCTGTGGCCTCAGGAATGGGGTGGCACAGTGGCTGGGGAGGGTAGGGGTGCAGGCAGTGGTACGGAAAGCGTTACGCAAGGGAAAAATAAAAAGGAACTTGAGAATAAAAAGGAGGGAAGGGGAAAGCAAGCTGGGGGTACTATTGGTGTTCCTGGTCCCCTGCTGTGGGGCTGGTGTCACCTCGAGACTCCCCGAAGCCTCAGGAAAGTTTGGTGCCAGCCTCTCTAAGAAGGACAGGGCTGCCAGTGACACCCAGGAGGAGCGGCCAGCGCTTAGGAACTTGGGGTTGGCTCTAGAGTTGGGGGAGGGAAGGTTGGCTGGCCATGCGGCATGGTGCCAGGAGCAGGGATGGGGGACATGCTGGGAAGTGTCAAGGGGCTGGGGTGAGCGTGGAAGACCCCTGGGCCCGGCGGAGGGGAAGATCTCTGTGGAAGTTTGCTAGGGGAGACTGAAGCGAGAAAAGGGAGGTAGGGTCGGTAGGGAGCAAATCAGGGACCAGCAACTGGCCGGTGCTGGGTTAGGCTGGGCCGGGTGTGTTGGAATAAGGCTTGCGCTGCTCCCCGGGCTGCACTTGGCAGGCAGCGAGCGCTTCCTGTTTCCCGAGAAGAGCTCTTACATAAGGCTCTGGACTAAGACAAAGAACCAGCTCCGAGCCCCCCAGCCGCTTCAGGATTCCCCCCCAGCACCCAGGGACTCAGATTCCCCAAATGTCTGGCCCTGGTACCCTGCCTACTGCCTGGGCCTTCCTTCCAGGGCAGCTCCCCACCCCCACCTCCCAGCCAGCACCTGCTGAGTGTCCTGAGGTCTCCAAGAGAAAGGGCCCTGCTCCTCCCAGCCAGGGATTCCCCCACAGGAGGAAGTTCGCCTCCTAGGGAAATGAGGCCACCGCTGCAGTACCTTGAACAGAGGACCGGTTTTTCCCTGAGCAGTGCACCTTTCTGCTCACAAACGCCAGTCCGAGGCATGCAGCTCTGTGCTCCCCAGTGCCCAGACTCACTTCCCACAACCCTGAGCTACCCTAAGGCCCAATAAAGAGCGAGACGCTATGACTTATTCTCTTTAATATCCACTTATCAACATTTTGTCACAATAATAATAAAAATAATATCTGTTTTCAAAATCCACAGGGAATTGTCAAGGAGGGAGCTCGTCCTCACATTTGGGAACTCCTGGCCTAGCTCCAGGCTCTTTGGCTTCCAGCCACAAGGTCCAGCCCCTCTCAGTGCCTAAAACCAGGTCGTCTGGACCCATCCTTGCCCAAAGGGTCAGTAAACACAGTGTCCTGGGGGGGGTGTGTGGCCAGGGGAGTTAAGGGATAAATGGGGGCTTGGAAAGGGGTTTGAGAGCTAGGAAGGTGGGTGGGGGTGTGTAAGGGAGGAGTGGGAGGGCTGGGGATTTAGCTCAGCAGCGTAAGTGCTTGCCTGGGAAGTACAAGGTCATGAGTTTGACCCCCAGTACCAAAAAAAAAAAAAAAAGAGTGGGCAGGGGAAATGTGAAGAAGCCCTGGCAGCCTATGGAGGGAGGGCAGATCTGGAGCCTGGGAGGCTTAGGGTGGTGCAGAGGGGACTGGGTGTTTAGAGAGCTGTGTGGGGAGCCAGCACCCTAGGAAATCTGCTGGGAGACTGATCCCTCAGTGAACTTGGAAGAGTCCAAAGTAGGTGAGGAAGGGGGCAGCTTTGAGATGGGCCCAGGGGAGGGTGCGGATCCGCAGGGAGGACCCTGGCCTCAGGGGCAACAGCCCGGACACCTGACAGAGTCGCAGCTGCGGCCCCAGGGAGCTTGCTGCAGTGGCGGAGAACTCTTCCAGGCAGCGCAGGACCAGCACGTCATCTACCAGCAGGTCCAGCTTCAGGTAAACAGCCTTGCCCTCGTCAAAGTGCACCTGGGCAGGGGAGGGTCGGCAGAGTCCAGCGACTGTCCCTCCCAGACCCCAAGCTGCCCCAGCCTCTAGCTTGTCCCCTTCTTTCAGCCCACACAGGACCTTTCTCCTGAGCGGAGGTCTTGCCCACCAGGCCGGCCGCAGTGCTTACCTGACAGTACAGGTAGTAAAGCCCAGCCCTGGTGACCGTAAACTCCCCAATCTGACGGTCATAGCGCAGAGGGTTGGAGCTGTTGATTTTGGCTTCTTCCCAGCCACTCACTGTGCCATCTACACCTGAATGTAGATGTTAGGAGACAAGGAAAAGCCCTTTTAGCACACTGCCCCACATTCTCCAGGGATCTGTTGAGTTTAGGACCCACCTTCACCACCGCAGATATTGATTGCCAGCATGTGGGAGGAGCTACACTCTGCGGAGCCCATAGGGCAGCAGGATATTATGTAAAGAAATGTTAACATACATCAGCAGAAAGATTCAGGACAAACTGTCATGACTGATCGCTTCCAGAGAGAAAAGTAGTTTGAAGAACAAATACGGGGGCTTCTTCCTGTTTACACTGTTTGCCTCTTTTACATTGAGACTGTGTATGTCCATTACTTGAATTAGTAAAATTAGAGAATAAAATGACACTTAGAAGTCTAACACCTGATGAATGGATCAGCAAACGTAGTCTGTCCACATAGTCTGCCATAAAAAAATAAAGGAGGGGCTGGGGATTTAGCTCAGCGGCATAAGCACCTGCCTTGCAAGCAGGCGGTCGTGAGTTTGATCCCCGGTACCGATTAAAAAAAAAAAAAAAAAAGAATAAAGGACCATGGTGAATGAACCTTAAAAGCGTTAGGCTAAGAAGTCATTCACATAACGAGCACATACTGTATGATTCCATTTGTAGAAAATGTGCAGAATAAGCAAATCTACAGGATCAGGAAGGAGATTACTGGTTGCTTAGCACTGGGTCATAAGGGGAACTGCAGGCAATGGCTAGCCCCTAGGGATAGGGCTTCTTTTTGAGGTGAAGACAGTCTTGTAAAGTCACTGTGGTGACTGACGCTCCCACGACTGTCAATATACTAAAGCCGCTGGCTGATGTTTTCATGAGTGTGTGGTACTGGAGGTTGAGCTCAGAGCCCACACACCAAGCTACATGCTCATCACATCTTTATCTTTTATTGGAGACAGGGTCTCTGTAAGTCACTAAATTGTGTAGAATGGGCTTGAATTTGTGATCTTCCTGCCTCAGCCTCCTAAAGTGCTGGGGTTACAGTGTGCATTACCATACATGGTTTTATTTTATTTTATTTTTTTTTTACCTCAACTTGTAAGAATGGACATACATGGTTTTAGCTGTACTTTTTTTTTTTTTTCCTTTTTATCAGTACCAGGGATCAAACTCACGACTGCCTGCTTGCAAGGCAGGCGCTTATGCCGCTAAGCTAAATCTCCAGCCCCCTACTGCTATACTTTTTAAGTAGGTGAATTATGTGAGGTATGACGTATATATCAATAAAACTATTACCAACGTACACATGTGTGCATAGACATAACTACCAAAGACAAACCTTAAAGGTGTAGCTCAGAGATAGAACCTCTAGCTTGCATGACTTCAATCTCTAGCACCTAAAAACCAAAAAAAAAAAAAAAAAAAAAAAAAAAAAAAAAACCCTACAGCTAGAGTAACTGCAAACTGTAAAATAAATGACGGTGATAGAACGGTCAGGCCCTCCCACCTTACACTCTCGGCTACCAAAGCCACAGGCTCCAGATAAGAGCCCGCCTCCCACAAGCCTGGCCTCCATCCATTGCTGGCACCACGCTCACTGTGCTTCAGGGCTTCGTGATGCTCTCCGCCCGCTCGCCAGGATTTCTCCCTCAACAGCACTCTCTGTCCTCCTGGGCCAGCCCTAGCCCTGCCCCATCAGCCCCTTCACATCATCCGGTTTCTTTGCTAGCTGTCAGCTACAAGGGCTCTCACCTCATTTATCCTCCATGGGTTAATTAGAGTCTGGCTCCCTTATGTGGGCAGGGGTGGCTGTCTTCATCACCCCTGTAACCTGGCACTTGGAGCTGGGCCTCATCTGAGTGGGCACCCAGTACACACTGGCAAGAAAACGGAGGGAATGCAGTGGCTGCCCTTTTGCAAGGAAAAAGTACCTTAAGCCAGGCATGGCGGCGGCACACTGTGTGTAATCCCCGGTATTCAGGAGGCCGAGGCAGGAACATGCAAGTTTGAGGCCGGCCTGGGCGATTTAGCAAGACCGTATCTGGGAATGTAGCTCAGCACTCTTAGTTCAGTCTCTAGGAACCTACACACACAGCACCGCTCAGGGTTGGAGGTGCTGCTCTGTGGTAGAGTCCTTCCCTAGGCCTGATCCCCAGCACCAGCACCCCTCCCAAACAAAGAGTAGCTGATGGGTGCTCTGGTCCTAGCACTCTGGAAGCCTGATGTAGGAGGTTCACAAGTCCGAGCAATTCAGCAAGACCATCACTCACAGGAAAAAATAAAAAGGCTTAGGATGTAGCTTAGCATTCCGTACACTTCGGCCTCAGCATCACCAAGGGGAAAGAAGAAAGAAAGAAAGAAAGAAAGAAAGAAAGAGAGAGAGAGAGAGAGAGAGAGAGACAGAGAAAGGAAACTGGTTGTTTTCATCCTGCCTTACAACATGAATTACAACAACCTATATGCCCTGTGAGTCCTGATTCAGGGTCCACCTGAACAGCAGGGGCTCCTCAAATTCATCTTCACCCAGACTTAGTGGAAGCCCCTCACCCCAAACTTGCTTCCCTGTCTGTGTCCTGCTGGCTCCACCCTGACTTCGTACCCCAGCCTCCCTCCCCTCCGCCTCCTTTACTCAGGGAACCCCAGTTCCTATGGCCCCGCCTCCCAGATAGCTGTGTCCCCCAGTCTGCTCCCACCACAGCAGGAGTCAGAAGCCTTTCCTCGCCTTGCCTTTCAGTGGCTCAGCTAGGGTGATGTCTGAGCTCGCCTGTGCTCTGGCCTCTGTATTCCACCGTCTCCCATCCCACCCTCTCCGGCTGCACTTTCTGTGTCAGCCATGCTGAACTCCTCCCAGGCCTTGGCTCATCAGCTTCTTGGCAAACTTGAGGCTTTCACACTCTGGTTCCTTCACCTGCAGCGGCCTTGACCCTTGTCCACCTCACACTCAGGACTTCGAGGCCCAGCGATGGCACAGGAAGGAGTCCCTCTCTCCACTGTCAATTTTTTTTCCATCTTTTTGAGGCAGGGTCTCGCTATGCGGTTCAGGCTGGCCTTGTGTTCACCTTGTAGCCCAGGTTGGTCTCGATCTTGCAACAGTCTGCCTGCCTCAGCCTCCCTGATGCTGGGATTACAGGAGTGCGCCACCACGCCTGGCTACTCCACTGTAAATTTGCCCATCTCCCTCTAAGCTTTGGCTTTCTTTCGGTATTGTCCTTGTCATGTGGTACTGTAATTACGCGTTTACAAACTGTCTTTTGTCCTCATAGTGACTTCCATGAGCACCCTCTGGGTGTGACTTGCTGTGGGCACCAGCACACGGCAGGTTCTTAAGCAAATGGATGCCCTGCAAACTGCCAAAGTAGAGTCTCTGCCGAGGGGAAAGGCTAGCCTGACCACGCACAACACCCTGGGGGGAGGAGGGAGGGCATCCTGTCTGGGAAATCAGCTTAGAGAAAAGGCACCGTGTATCTGCGACTGTGGGCAGCGCCTGCACACCCCACACCACGATGGGCCTTCAGGGAACATTCTGTGCCGCCTGGCCACCTACGTGCCCCCACCAAGCTGGCTTTCATCTTCCCCAAGACAAGGACTTCGTACCGTGTCTCCTCAGACCCCCTGTCCTACCGCCCTCCCTCTCCAGAGGAACTAGCCGTCCTCAGGAACACGCTCCCTTCTCCCTCCACCAACCTACAAACCCACCTGCCCTCCTTCCACGCCCTTCTGATGATGTAAAACATGTCCTTCCTGACCCTCCCTCTTCCTGGACATGTCCCTGCAGGTCCCCTCCTCTGGCCAGCAAGCGTGCCTCTCAGTTTCCAGGACATAGGCCACACTGGCCGGCTTCGAAACCTGCCCCCCACTGCTTAGGAGCTTCACGACTCGGAAAGCCGTGTAACCTCCATTCGTGACAGAAGTAACCAGAACATCTTCCTTGGGTGGCAGCTGCGAGGTTTAGATACAATTTAACAAGTGCTGCAAGGCACAGCGCCCACCCCGCAGAAAAGCTCTCGGTAAATGCAAGGTGCAGTGCATACAGCTTGCTGAAACTTTCCTTGATGCATTTCCTCCTCCACCTACTGGTCCCTTTCTCTGCCCTTGTCACAGAGAAATTCCTAAAGAGGGCCGTCACTGTCTCCAGTCCCTTATTTCCATTTTCTTCTCAATCTACAGTGGCCTCCATCCTAACTGGCCAGTGAAATGCCCCTCCTCAAGGTCACCAGTTATCTTTTGTGTTGCAAAGTAGCAGTCCCTCCCGTGTGTCCTCATCTCATGTGACCCCTCAGCTGCTTCCAGCAGACAGCCACATCCTCCTTAGTCAGTGTCTTCCCGGAGATCCCAGGACACCACCCGTCCTGACTTCTTCCTCTCTCTTGGGCTGCTCCTCTGTCCCCCGGCCCGCTTTCCTCCGCTGCCTGCTTCCAGATGGCCAGGAGCTCCAGGGCTTTGTCCCGTGCTCCTCACTCTCCTGGTGCCTCCTCCCATCCCGCAGCGCCTGGTCATCACTTCTGGCTTTGCATCCTCACAAAGCCTAAGCAAACCCAGGACACCAGCCTTCTCCTGGTGAAGTTCACTTTACTGCCTTTATTAGCCATCTCAGAGTTAGTTATTAATTTGCAGATCTCCTGTCCTATTTCTTCCCCGGGTGAACCCTGTCTTAGGAAAGGGCACCACCATTCCTAGTGTTAGCCCGATTAAAATTCTTTTTTTTTTTTTTTTTGTCTTTCTCCTTTTTATCGGTACCGGGGATCGAACTCATGACTGCCTGCTTGCAAGGCAGGCGCTTATGCCGCTGAGCTAAATCCCCAGCCCCTACCCTGATTAAAATTCTAAAAATCAAAAACTACAATGCCAGCTATTCAAGAGCGGAGGCATGAAGGTGGCCTGAGCCTTGTAGTTCAAGACCAGCCTGGGCAACATAATGAGAGCCTGTCTCAAAACACTAAACGAAAACTTTGATGTGTTTGGGATTCTTTTTCTCTTATTCTTCATGTTCATCCCTGTATGGTCAAGCTACATGCCACAGCCACCTACTTCTCTCCATCCCCGCTTCTGACACCCTGGACTGAGCCACCCCGGGGTCCTGCCTCTCTGTATGCACAGCGAAAGGATGTTCCAGGCGAGGGAACGCATGCAGAGGCCAAAAGAGGGCACAAGGTGTCAGCCTCTCAGGCAGGAAGAATGCATAACGGGAAGAGAGCGTGACACCGAACTGGGACGCCGCACAGAAACGCATGGGACCAGGACAGAGCTTCGGGGCTTAGCTGACAGCACAGGTGGGACAGAGTGGAGAGGCGGGAGTGGGCAGCGGGGGAGAGGCCAGAGCTGCATCTGAGGCTCTGAAGTCCCGGTGGAAAGGGGGGGCGTGGGGTAGGAAAGGAGAAAATGAGCAGAAACCAGAAGTGTTGGGAGGAACAGTGACTGGGGGGGAGAAGGACAAAGCCAGGGCTGTGCACTCAGCAGAGGCAGGAAGGTCGCCGAGAGGGCGAAGCCAGCCTCAGAAAACAAAACAAAAAACAATCACAAGTGCTTGCGGAAGACAGAACTGAAGGTAAAGGCAGTGGCCCCTCACTTTGTGGAGGTTCTGCCCTGGGATCTGGGAACGTGGCATCCCAGGGTCTCATGCCTGGGTCACAGAGAACCAGGACTTTGACAAACTGGATTCTGGGGGTTCCAGGCTGATGGCAGAGAGAAGTTAAGAAATCAAAGGATTTGAGGGGCCCCTTTCCAGGAGGCCAGCACTGTTGAGGATGGGGGGAAGGGGTCTCACCCGCCTGCGCTCCATCCTGTCCCGGTCGTGGGTGAACTGTAAGATACAGGAAGGGGTTGGTGAGACCTGTCCTGCACCTGTACCCCCTCCTCCTGGGCATGGCTCAGCCATCTCCTACCTTCATAGTGAGCTGCAATCACTCTGCGATCCCGTATTTTCCGGCCTTTTGGTGCTGAAAATCAAGGAAAGAGAAATAAGTGGAGCAGACACCCGTGGGGGAGCCGCTCTCATCTCAGGACATGCCAGCCTTCGTCTCATCCAGACAACTGGCCTCCTGACCTCTGCCCCTGTCTTCTTCACAAAGGGACTGACCATATATTTTGTCATCCAAGTTGGGATACTTCTGAGGGCACCAGGGGCAGCCGTTAATGACGGCAGGCTTCAGTGGAGTTCAGTGATAGAGCGCTTGTCTGACACACACTGGGCCCTGGGTGCCACTCTCGCACCGGAGGAAAAAATCACATGGAGGCCACGGTACTGGCCGTTCAGTCCTGCGCACGCCCACTGTGATGCACGAGCACGTGACCAGCCTATTCCTAAGTGTCTTTGCTCACTGAGACCCAGGCCTCTGACCCCCGGCTGGTCCTCATCAGCACGCCAACAGTCCTCTCGTATTTGGGGCGGGATATATAAGGAGCAGGTCCACGTGACGAGAGAAGCTTCAGAGCGAGGGCTTTAACTCCTAAATTCAGATCCCAAGTGTTTAGTTGCACAACTCAACCTCCTTTCATGCTCTGTGCCTCAGTGTCTCTGTGAGGATAGCATTTGTTGCTCAAACAAATGCACAAACGCAGTAATGAACCCAGAAGCCACCACAGACTGGCCAGTCTCACAGTCCTGCTGCCAAGGCAGAGGGATGCTCACCACTTCTGCGAGGCCGGACCAGCGGTTTCAGGAAAGGCACAACATCCTGGCTGTCCTCTGTCTGTGGACTCAGTTCCTAGGGGAATGAAGGGCAGAGCGGAATCAGGGGCTCTCCGAGATAATCTGACCCCAGCAGGCCCCATCAGAAGAGCCACCAGTCAGCAGTGGGCACAAGGTCTTAGAGACAGGTCAAGGTCTGAGGTCAGGCCCCCAGGATCCCTTTCTAGAGACCAGCAGCTCCTTCCAGCTCCCATCCCTCACCACAGCAAACCCTGTGCGCACTGCACACGTGCTCACACTCAGCATGCATAGGGCACAGGCTGCACACGACGGAGTCGTCTCTCACAGAGGCCCTGTATCTCACAGCTCCGCTTCACCACAGGCAGTAAATACTTCGTGCTGGCACAATCCTGGCACACAGCCTCACACACAATCCTGGCACACACCCTTACACACACGGCCACCCTCACACACACACAGACACGCATACCTGTGCCTACTGGTGCACCCAGACACACACAAGGGAACACACACCATGCATGAGGGTCTGCATGCACCCTTGGGACACACCTCAGGCACAGCTAGCAAAGCCAGCTCGCACTCTGCAGCCTCAGCTCCCTTCACCTGTCCAGCAGCCAGCAGAAGGTGCCCAAACTACTCACCCGAGGCTCCTGGTCCTCCTCTGCCACCAGCTTCCCCTGGGAAGGCTCCTGCTGTGAAGGAGGCAGCGTCATCCCGTTCTCCTCCACCTGACATCTCGCCCTCCACCCATCCTGGGGTTCCCTGGCCCTCTGCCCACCCGGCCCCCATCCGCTCCTCTGCAGTCTTAGCTCCTCATGTGCCCGGGGAGGGGTGCGCTGCGAGGCCTCACCTGGGCAGACAGCGATGCCCGGCTCCCCAGGCTGACCACCGCTAGCAGGAGGCCAAGGCAGGCCAGCGCCAGGCCCAGGCCCAGCACGAGGGGGGCCAGCAGGGCGGTGCCCGGCTCCCCCCGGCGCCCCCTCCGCCTCTGGCTCCTACGGGCGGCCATGGGGGCGGGGGGCTGTGCCTGCCTCACCGCCCCCCCATCCCGGGACCCGAGGGATCGGGGAGGGGGAGCCGGCGGGCGGATCGGGCCGGGGAGAGGGAGGGGCCAGGGAAACGGGGCGGGAGGGGCGATGAGGACAGGAAGCCGGACACCGAGATACACTGGAGCCGTCCTCGGGCGGGCGGGCGGGCGGAGCGCGCGGGCGCCGAGGAGTTGCGCTGCGAGCGCCGGGCCAGGGCGCGGGGCGCCGGGCGGGCACCCCGGGGCGGAGGTTCGCAGAGCGTGAGGGCGGCCGCGGGGGGACCGGCCGTCCGCTGGCCCTCGGACGGGAGGGGGCGAAAGCAGAACCGGCGGAGCTCCGCCCAGGCCTGGGCGCCGCGGCCGGCCGGGCTCGGGCGGGGTCGGCGTGCGCTCCCACCGGGCTCGCCCTGCCTGCGCACCGGGCGACGGGGCCCCGCGGTGGGCACGGTGCCCCTCGAGGCGCCCTCGCCTCCCCCGCCGCAGACACGCTTCGGTTTCACTCGCGGCGTCCTCTCGAGACTGGACAAGCCCTGCGGACCTCCACTCGCTGAGGTCCTGCGTTCCCATCTTTCAGCAAATCTCTTGCAAGTCGGTGGAAACTTGGGCGCCTTGCAGCCAGGGAGGGCAGAGCTGAGAAGTGGCGCGTCCTGCTCGGGTGCCCCCGACGGCCTGGCCCGGGACGCGGCGCCATTTCAGCTGACCGCAGAGCAGCGAGCCGTAGGGACAGCTCCAGGGGTGCAGGCAGAGAGTTGGGTAACAGCCCGGCCCTGTCTGCTGAGAAATACTTTTGGAGTCAGCAGTTTAGTGTGTCATGGTCCCGTGGCATTTACAGTGAAATGCAGGAGACAGGAACGCTGCGGGCGAGGCCTGGGGTGAAGCTCGGCCTGGGGCCCTGGGCATGGGCGAGTCCCTCAGCCAGGGCCCCTTCCAGCCTCCCTGAGCTCTGGGCACTCACTTCCCCTCTGTTCCAGCACCTGCTGGACTTCTGCTTCTGCTCTGGGTCTCGGCACACTGATTCCCCGCACGCTGAACACTCGGCCCCCACCCCTGCGCGGATCAGCTTAGGTCGCTTCGAGGAAGACTTTTAGGTCACCTTTTAGAATTTGGAACCCTGACTCCCCTCGGTCTCTATTCATGTGTCCTTTTTCTCTTAGTAATCAAAATTTGTAATAATTCATTTGATTATTTGGACATTGTATATCTTCCCAACAACTCTGTAAAGCATAAATATTACAATTTTTTTGTTTGTTTTATAAACACAGCATCTCACTATGTAGCCCGGGCTGGCCTCAAACTCTTGGGGAACCTCCTACCTCAGCCACTCCAGAGCTGGTATTATGGGTGTGCACCCCTACACCCTGGTAGATACTGTACTTTTTCTTTTGCATTTGTTTATTTATTTTTCCAGCGCTACAGATTAAACCTAGGGCCTAGAATGCGAGGCAAGCATAGCAGAGCTATCTCAGGTCCATCCCCCAAAACAAAACCCTCGTCTGCCCAGCATCAGTAGAGTCTCTAAGACTTGTCCTCATGTGCTAGATCAGGAGCAAAGCCAACGCTCATCCCTGCGTTGTGGGATGCTACAAAGCAGTCAAAACAAGAGTCCAGGCTGGGCACGGTGGCACACACCTGTAATCCCAGTATTTCGGGAGGCTGAGGCAGGAGGATCACTGAATTTGAGGCCAGCCTAGGTGACAAAGTGAGTTCAAGGCCAGCCTGAACTGCATAGTGAAACCCTGCCTCAGAAAGACAACAGAAAACTGGGGAGGGGGACAGTACTTGGCTCTCTTTTTCCCAACACTTCAGGCCTCGAATCCAGATCAAATCTAGGGCCTCAGGCATGCTAGCTAAGTGCTCTATATCTGTCTATATTCCCATCCTTTGGAAAGGGTTTTTCTGAAAATGTTAAGCAAGAATTAGAAAAAATCAAGGAAGGAAGAGTGAGATTAGAGGCTGGGGATTTAGCTCAGTGGCTTAAGCGCCTGCCTGGCAAGCGCAAGGTCATGAGTTCGATTCCTAGAACCAAAAAAAAAGCCTGAGATTCAGGTTGGTCCCAAAGACTGTGTCTCAGCTAGGGGAAGAGCCCTGGAAACCTGAGGAGAATGTATGCAGTCTCAAGGGAGTCTGGTTTAAGCTTTCAGCAGCTCTGGGCTGAGAGACTTGTTGATTTTTTTCTTCGGCCACAAGAATCCGTGCGTGCCATCCACCCCAGCCCCCCTGTGGCCAGACAGCCCCCAGCTGGTAAAGTCTAAAAAAATGGAACTTGTTCTTTGTTGAAGTAACTCAGTCTCTGTCCTGGGTCCCAGTGTCTCTGCTCAGCTTTGAAGCCAGAACTAAGCACCGGCATGTTGTGTACGGTAAGCAGTTCTTGGATTTCCACTGACTCGGATGAATGAGCCGTTACCGTGCACCTCTGTCAGCCTGTGTGCTTGCTGTGTGGGACAAATAGAAAACAAACCCTTCCTCGAGGCCAGCCCCACTCCTTGGCTGTCGATGTCGCTCCCGGCCGGCAGGAAGGACACACGACAAAGTCTGGCAGTGGACAACCTTTTCTTTTATTTTCTCTCCGTACAGCCTGCCCTGGGATCGCTCCCAGCCGAAGCCTCCTCTGGTCCGCTCCCCGCGGCTCCTTCCGTGCTTCGCTCCGAAGCCTCTACCGGTCCGCTCTCCGCGGCTCCTTCCGTGCTTCGCTCCGAAGCCTCTACCGGTCCGCTCTCCGCGGCTCCTTCCGGGCTTCTACTTCCCCCCAGGGGTGGCACCAGTATATATACGGATACAGTGTCCAATCATATTAAAGTAAGCAAGGCAAGCTGATTGGCTAACATATTATTGAGCGGGTTGTTTACGCGGTAAGCAGGAAACTAACGTGCTCGATGGGAGGGGTAATCTAACTCAGGCTTTACTCTTTACCACAGGCCGCATGATCGCTATATGCGGCGGCTCGGCAATGTGGTGGCTCCCAACATCTCCCCCTTTTTTATTTTAAATAAGTCTACGCATCGCAGCCCGTCCTGAATTGAGTGTAGAGGCCTATGCCCTGATAGGAGGCCCACCAAGGGCTCTCGGCGTCGGCCCGGGTCGGCCGTCCCCGAGTCTGCCGAGGCCCCGAGGCCCTCGTCCTTTTTCCAGGGCCAGGAAGGAACCGGACGGAACCTGGATGCACACAGGCATACACTCATGTCGCTCCGCATGATCCCCCCGGGGCGACATTTGGTTTGGGCGAAACCTAGTAATTCAGCGGCTTTCGTGCGGTATGGGGTAGGGCCTGTCTTAGGTTGAGTCATGCTGGGGAGGCATGCTCTTACCCGTCATTGACTCATCTACCCTGCTATATCATAATTTTTTAGAGGAGGAGTGTGGGAAGCTCACCGTCCCTAGACTCGGTCGTAGGCTAGGCGAGCGAGCCATGCATATGCCTGAGGATCTTCTTGTCCATTTCGGGCTACCGCTATTTCTATTCATCTTGTTGGTTGGTCTGTGATGGATCTCCGGTAGGGCAGGTCTGATCTTCAGTCGAGGGCTTTGTCGCCCGTGTCAGTCTCTCCGGTACCCACAGTGGTTCTCGTCCCGATTCCTGCAGAAAAACACAAACCGCGCCTCGGTTCCAGCTGATTACCGGATCCGGGCCCATCCATTGTCATGCCATAGATAACCGCGCCTTTGGAGGCAGGCCTTGGCTTACTCCCCCTTTTTGTTTTTTATTTTTTATTTTTATCTTTTTCGTTTTTTTTTTTTTTTTTTTTTTTTTTTATTGGTACCAGGGATCGAACTGGCGATTGCCTGCTTACAAGGCAGGCGCTTATGCCGCTAAGCTAAATCCCCAGCTCCCATTTCCTCGACCGGCGTTTTTCTCAGCCTGCTCGGCAGAGAACTCTGTGTACCAGGCTCGCCAATCCAGGTAACTACCCGAGGGCAGACACGCCTTTGCCAGCTGAATCCAGTCCGCGGGGGTGAGGGGCCCAGAAGACAGGTTCTCCAGCATGGCAATGGTGTAAGGCGCAGTCGGCCCAAAGGTTGTAACTGCATTTTTAAGTTCTCTAATCTGCTTTATCTCAAAAGGCTCCCATGCATTACGTCCCTGGCCCATAGCTACTTGTACAGGAAATATCCCGTAGGGGCCACTATCTATCCCAGGTGGTGGATGTACCTCATGAGACAAACGTCCCCCCTGCCAAAGCCGCCTGTAAAAATACCGACCCGCCGGCGGCGGAGCATAAGACGGCGGCCGTGATTGGGCGGAAAATGGGGGCCCGTGCATCACTTCCTGTTCTGGCGAAAGGGGAGGGAGCTCCCACGCAGCCGCCTCGTGGCGAGGGATCGCTTCCGGGAACAGCCCCCAAGGTGGGGCGGAAGGCTTCGCCTCCCTCTCGCGCCAGGGGGCGCTCAGGAGCTCTCTACTCCTCCGCAGACCAAGTTGAGCGGAGCGCAATTCGCGGCGCAACACTGGGAAAGAACCCTGCGACTCCTTATCGAGCGGCCTATCCTCTTGGCATCTAGGCTCCTTGGTCTCATCGTTGTCTAAGCCTTCCTCGTTCTCGGAGTCAGACGACTCCGAGGCCTGAGCCCCGTCTTCCTCCTTTATATCTTTGTCTCCTTTGACGGACCCCTCCCGGGAGCTCCCTGACTGGGCCTGTTCGAATGCCCTACGCACTTTAATGAGCTCTTGAGAACCTTCCCTGCAACCACCCTCGCTCTTCAAGCATGCATATATCATTTCCCACAGTGGCCGAGCGAAGACCGAAGCCCCGCCCTCCCTTTCCGCTAGAGAAAGATCCCTGCCCAACTTCTCCCACGAGGGCAGGTTTAAGTGCCCTGTGGGCAAGAACCAGGGAGCGAAACTATCAATCTCCTCAAAAAAGCTCTCCAGCATTTTGCGTCCCACCTTGAGGTCTCTGGACTTTAAGAGCTTCCGGAGGACCTGTACCAAGGGCTGGGTGTCGTTACTCGGTACGTTACCCATATTTAATATGTTACTCACCGCGTGAGGCCCAAAAATCCGCCACTTACGCGTGAGCCTGAGGGGAGTCTAAAAACCCTGTAGGTGCGCGCCACCCAGGGCCCAGGTTTATCCCCTGCTCACCTGTCTCGCAGTGCTGTATCAAGGAACGTTGTCCACTACCACGTCTCGGGGGTGATCAGTTGTTCCCCGTGCGGGCCTCCAAATGTCGATGTCGCTCCCGGCCGGCAGGAAGGACACACGACAAAGTCTGGCAGTGGACAACCTTTTCTTTTATTTTCTCTCCGTACAGCCTGCCCTGGGATCGCTCCCAGCCGAAGCCTCCTCTGGTCCGCTCCCCGCGGCTCCTTCCGTGCTTTGCTCCGAAGCCTCTACCGGTCCGCTCTCCGCGGCTCCTTCCGGGCTTCTACTTCCCCCCAGGGGTGGCACCAGTATATATACGGATACAGTGTCCAATCATATTAAAGTAAGCAAGGCAAGCTGATTGGCTAACATATTATTGAGCGGGTTGTTTACGCGGTAAGCAGGAAACTAACGTGCTCGATGGGAGGGGTAATCTAACTCAGGCTTTACTCTTTACCACAGGCCGCATGATCGCTATATGCGGCGGCTCGGCAATGTGGTGGCTCCCAACACTTGGCCTCTAGTTCCTCTGCAGATCCCACTGAAGCCCAGCGTCCTTGGGGAGAAGAGAGAGATAGGGTGGGAACTCGGAACTGGTCAGAGGTCAGCAAAGGGGCCGGCAGCACCAGCTGATGCCCGGACCCCACTCGCCTTCCTCCCCCCAAAGGCATTTTCCACCAGGGATCTTGCCCCTAAAGAAGTGGAACCAATTTTCTGAGGGGAATGCTGACTTCCTGTGTGCGTGCCAACATCCAGCATAAAATGAATGTTCCTGATTCTAGGATTTAAAGTAACTAACAGCTGGCCATCAGCCATTCTCTAGGCAAACTGAAACTTTCCATTTTATGATCCAAAAAGTTTCTAGGCAAAATTTCTACACAAAGAAAAACCTAGAGGCTAAGCGGTAAAATTATATACCAGGAGAGAAAGTCTCAGCTACACAGTTGTTGTTTTTGTACTGAAGATGAGACACGGCGATAGGCAATGAGTTACAGTCTACATCACCGCTTTCTTTTCATATTCTCAGGGTCTTGCTAAGGCACTAAATTGCCCAGGCTGGCTTGAATTTGAGATCCTCCTGCCTCAGACTCCCAGAGCGCTGCATTGCAGGTGTGTGCTACCATTCCTGGATTCATAGAAGGTTTTTAAAATCTAAAAATATAGGGAAAAATGCTTCCTTCAGTAGCTCAGTTGGTAAAGCAGAAGTCTAAAAAATACAGAGCAAAAATATGAGAGCATAGAAATCAAAAGGAAAAGATAACAAACACAGAAGCCCAGTCTAAACGGACCCTCTGTGGTAGTTATTAGGAATCCCAGAAAATGAAAAAATAAAAATAAAATAGGAAGAAGAAAATTATCTTAGGGAAAAATGAGATGATTTCCAGAGCTGAAAGACATGTCTTCATTCTCAGTTTAGTTTGTGCTCAAGATAATGAATGCAAAATCACCCATACCTAGAAATTTCAGAATATCAAGAGTGAGATCTATAGTTTTATTTTATTTTGGTACTGGGGATCAAAGTCACAACCTCGTGCTTGCCAGGCAGGTGCTTGTGCTGCTGAGCTATATCCCCAGCTCCTATAAAGTTTTTAAAGAAAAAAAATCCAGCCAGGCGTGGTGGTACACACCTGTAATCCCAGCACTCAGGAAGTTGAGGCGGAAGGATCACCATGAGTTCAAGGCCAGCTTGGGATACACAAGCAAGTTCTAGGCCAGCCTAAACTTCATAGTGAGACCCTGTCTCAAAAAAAAAAAATCATGCAAAGAATCAAGATGACTGGACTTTTCATCCTAGCACTGGATTCCAGAAGACTGGTGATGCCTATGTGGTTTTGAAGAGAAATAATTTCTGCCTAGAATTCTGTATTCAGCAAACTATTCTTCAGCAGACCAATATAATAAAGACAGAGGCCATCCTGATGTGCAAAGTTGACCTTCACATTGTGGACCCTTTCTTTAAAAAATAGAGGATGTATTTCAGAAAATGGAGTAAATCAGGAAGATAAAGTAATATTTAAGGGACAGGGATTTATCTTTTGGTGCAGAGGACGAGGCCTGGGGCTTGTGCGTGCTAATCAAGCACTCACTACTGAGCTCCACTCCCAGCCCAAGAAACTGTGGATTCTAAATCCGAAGATCGTGAACAGAGGTGCTAGGCTGGCATGGAGTGCCACGGAGTGAGTCTACGGAGAAGGAGGAAAAGGGGGCTCAAATTGAATAAATGGCACAGATGATAATTTTATTCATTTATTTAGGACAAGGTCTTGCTTATGCAGTTCAGGCTGGCCTTGAACTCACGGTGTAGCCCGGGCTGACCTAGACTTGTGGCAATTCTCCTGCCTCAGCCTCCTGAGTGCTGGGGACTACAGGCCTGAACTACCACACCCAGCTATGAATGGTATTTTGAAAAAATTATAGATAAGGTATCTTGGTCTGCTTTCCTTTGCTGATGATGCCTTACCACACACTGAGTACTTTAAAAGGAAAGGGCTTTATGTCATGCTTCTGGGCTAAGGTCAAAGGGCCACGTGCAGTGGTGGCCTTCCTGCTAACAGGGTACCCGTGTCACAGGATGTCACGTGAGAGCCGAGCGTACATGAGTGATTGGACCAAATGGGCTTTTATAGCACAGCCACTGAAGATAACCTATTTTTTTTTCAAGATAACCTATTAATCACATCGATGGATTAATTCACTCAGGAGGACAGAGTCCTGATGGTCTGTTAAAGTTTCTACCCAGGGCCACCTCTTAATATCTCGTAATAAAGATTAAATTTCAACATGCGTCTCAGGAGGGTTAAACCACATTCAAAGTACAGTGTAGGATATGGTAAAGTGTGCAAATAGAAAGAAAAATAAGAATAATTTCCAGCTCTAAAGCTAAAGAATGAATCCATGGCTTAATGGAGGAACAAGCTATCTTATGGCACCACTGTATTTCGCTGACACTGTCTCCATGAAGACCTCAGTGCCTGATACCTTCTCCTCCAAGTGACTTGTGGGTTACGGAATTGGATGTGTGGAGAAGAATGTCTAATTCTAGCCCCTTGTGTGATCTGAGTTGAATCCACACTTACACAGCTGTAATGTAGAACTGCCTGCTGGCTTCAACCTTTATTTTACTTTATTATTTTATTTCTTTGGTACCGGGAATCAAGTTTCAACTTTTTTTTTCTTTTTTTGAGACAGGGTCTCGCTATGCAGTTCAGGCTGGCGGTGAGCTCATTTTGTAGCCCAGGCTGGTCTCGAACTCGCAATTATCCTCCTGCCTCAGCCTCTCGAGTGCTGGGATTACAGGCGTGAGCCACCACACCCGGCTCAAGCTTCAACTTTTAAGAGTCACCCTGCAGAGAACTCCAGAAGACTTGGTTGCACCTGCAGCAGCAGATCACAGATGCTCAGCCTTGACGTTGGTACAGGCGAGACTGAGGAGCGGTTTCATGTGGAGTAGAGAAGGAAGGGTCAGACCCCGGCTTCTCATCAGACAGAATGACAAAGTGCAGAGGTATCCACACAGCTCAATTAGGCAGGAATGGCAGCAGGCAGTGGCACGGGGCTGGGCCCTGGAGGGAGTCGTGTGGAAGACGAGGCTCCATCAGGACCCAGCTGGGGGCGCATCTGAAGAACAAAGTCACCATGGCTAGGTTTACACACTTCCCTGAGGGACGGACGGAGGGCGAGCTTATCGGTGTCACCCTTTTGAGGCTCCCCATTATCTCGGTAGGGTGGGCCATCCTCTCCCACCCACTAATGCCGAGACTAAAACCACTAAGACTAAAGACAGGACTAAGACTACAGGCTGTCAACCAAGGTTAAGATGTCACTCACGCACCCTCGCTAGCATCAGACCAATATTACCTAAACAGCTGTGCCGGCAATCTTATTGGCTGATCAGAATTTTGACCCACGTTGTACCTGTCTTGTGATTTTGCTCTATAAAACTCCCTTTGCGAGGTGGGCTCATTGGCAACCCATTTTGGGTCCCTCCTGTCTCTCAGGAGTTCTTCCTTCCTTCCTTTCTTTCTTTCTTTCTTTCTTTCTTTCTTTCTTTCTTTCTTTCTTTCTCTCTCTCTCTCTTTTTTGGTATGGGATCGAACTCAGGACCTCGCACTTGCCAGGCAAGTGCTTATGCCACTGAGCTAAATCCCCAGCCCTCAGGAGCTATTCCTATTCCCCATTCCTTTTCTTCAATAATTTTCCTACTCTTAACCTCTGCTGTTCCTTAGAAAATTTTGGACTTTGGGGGACACAAACAACATATTTGGCATCTAGTGTTTCCTCTCTATCGGAAGGTGGGGCCTGGTGATGCACACCTGTAATCCCGGCACTCAGGAGGCTGAGGCAAGAGGATCACTACAAGGTCAGGCCAGCTTGAACTCTACTAGCGAAAATATATACATCTCTATGTGATCAGTGCGAAGACGGCCCTGGCTTTGATCCCAGTGCTGCAAAATTAATACGACCGTAGTCACCATTGAGATGAACGGAGAGTGAGCACTAGGATTCTGTAAATAACTTCCACAAGAACTAAAACTTAAAGGTTCTGTCTCTAGATGATGGGAGAGGAGGGAGGCGAGATACTGGGCTCCAGAAGGCGCTGCTGTTTTTCATTGTAATCGCTGTACTCCATTATTGTTATCAGGTGAATGCAGCATTTTAATGTAGAAAACAAAAATACTTGTAGAGTGAAAGCTTAACTGAAGAGAAGTCTTTATCCGAGGAAGCCAGATCCCGGCTCGCACCTGCTGATGGAAAAAACCAGAGTCAGACCCTGGGAACGGCAGATTATCCTCAGATCCCATAACTTGGTCCTGAAAAATTAATTCAATACACTTAACCTTTTTGTTCTTGGTTTGCAGCCAAAGTTACAATTGACTGGCGCTTCTTAGGACACGGATGGGAAATGACTTGGGAAATATGTAGGAAAAATACTGACAGGAAGTTTGCCAGCAAGATTTTTCCTCCTGCCTTCTTTTCTTATTATTAAAATTAGCTGCTGTATTACGGAACAAAGATCAGGCTTGTTTTGTTTTATTTTTCTATTTTTCCAAATTCATTTTATTTCCGAGAGAAAAAGAAGAAAACAAAGTTTCAAAACACATTAGCTGAGGGCAACAATGGCCCATACATCATGCATTGTCATCCCCAAATCATTCACCCAGAGCATGAGGCGTCTGCCTGCAGTTGTCCGAACAATACCAACACGAAGCTTTCTCTTCAATGACCTCAGAGAAATCAGAAGTATAACTATCTTAACTATCTTTTATATATATAAGTATATATAAATATCTGTATATATATAATACACATATACAAGTATATAATGTTTCAGCTTCTCACACTAGTGAAACTGTGCCGCTTACACATATGTGTCTGATTTATTTCACTGATGAGTACGGTCTCAAGTTACATCCACTTACCTATAAAAGTGTCCAGTTTACCCCTCTTTATGGCCGAGTAGTACTCCATTGTATAAAAGTGCTACATCTGTTTTATCCATTCCTCAGTCAGTAGCATTTAGATTGTTTTCAAAATCTAGCTACTGCAAATTATGCTGCTATCAACATGGGCACACACATACTGCTGTGATATGATGTATTTAATTCTTCTGGGAAGATACCCAAAGGGGACTATCTGAGTCACAGGGGACCTCCAATCCTAGATCTTTGAGGAATCTCCACACTGATTTCCACAGTGGTTGCACCAGTCAGCACTCCCACCAACAGTGGAGAAGGGTTTTTTTTTCCTCACAGCCCCTCCTCCAGCATTTGTTATTGCCTGATTTCTTGATAATAGCCATTCTGTCCAGGGTAAGGTGAAATCTCAGTGTTATTTTAATTTGCATCTTTTGAATGACGAGTGATGTTGAACATTTTTTCATATATTTATTTGCCATTTGTATTTCTTCATCTGAGAAGTGTGTGTTCATCTCAGATGCCCATTTTTGGATCGGGTCTTTGAATCTGGGAGGACTGATTGAGTTCTTTATGTGTTCTCAATACTAAGCCTTTGTCTGAAGTACGACTAGCAAACATTTTCTCCCACACTGGGGTTGTCTCTTCACTCTGTTGCTGGTTTTTCTTGCTCAGCAAAAGCTTTTCAATGGAATGAGGTCCCAGTTATTGATTCTTTGAAATAGTTCCTATGCAACTGGGGTTTTCTTCATAAAGTCTTTGCCTACACCAATGTCTTCAAGAGTTTTTCCTACTGTATCTTCTAGTAGACTTAATGTTTCTATTTTTAAATTAAGATTTCTAGGGCTGGGGTTTTAGCTCAGTGGTGTAAGTGCCTGCTTGGCAAATGTGAGGTTGTGAGTTCAATCCCCAGCACCACAAAATAAATAAATAAATAAATGAAATTAAGTTTTTTTTTTTTTCTTTTTTGGTACCAGGGATCGAACTCACGACTGCCTGCTTGCAAGGCAGGCGCTTATGCCGCTGAGCTAAATCCCCAGCCCCTGAAATTAACATTTTTGATCCATTCTGATTTTTTAAAATAATGAGTCACCAGTTGAACTCAGCTGCATGCTGTTTTGTACCAGAGATCAAACTCAGGACCTCACGCTTGCCAGGTGCTTGTGCCGCTGAGCTAAATCCCCAGCCTGACCTATTCGGATTTTATCTTAGCGCATGGTGAAAGATATGGGTCCTGTTTTAGTCTTTGGCATGTGAAGTTTTTCCAGCACTATTTACTAAGAGGCTTCTTTCTTCCAGTGAACATGTTTGGCAGCTTTGTCAAAGATAAGGTGGCTTAGTGTGTCTGGACTTGTTCCTGCATCTTCTAATCTGTTCCTTTGATCTTCTAGTGTGTTTATTTGCCAGTACTATGCTGATTTTTTTTTATCACAGTAGCTTTCTAGTATAATAACTTCAAGTCAGGGATTGTGATGCCTCTTATCTTGTCTTTGTTGCTCAGGATTGCCTTTGCTATTCTAGATCTCATCTGGTTCTAGATGAGTTTTAGGATTGTTTTCTCTGACTCTGTGCTATTAGAATTTTGATTGGGATTGCATTGAATCTGTATACCAGTTTTGGAACTGTGGCCATTTTCACTATATTGGTTCTTCTTACTGAAGAGCAGGGGATGGGATCTCTGTCCATTTTCTAATATCCTCTTAAATCTCCTTTTTCAGAGTGCTGTAGTTTTCAATACAGAGGTCTTTTACGTCCTTTGTTGGATAGATTCCTAGGTTATGGTTTGAGTCTGGATGTCCCCTAAAGCCTCGTGCAGTCAAGGAGGTGGGCTTCTAGAGTTTGTGAATGACTCACAGTTCGATGCTGGAATTATGAGTGAGTGTGGCCTACATAACAGTATAAGGGACAGAAAGAGGCTTCCCTCTGAGCTCCTCCCTTTTTCTCTTGCTTGGACTGTTTTCTGCCATCATGAACTCCTTCTGCCATGTGCCACTCTGCTTTGGAGCCAGCTGATTATGGACTGAAACCTCCAAAAACTGTGAGCTAAATAAATATTTCCTTCCTAATTATTTTGGGTGTCAGGTATTTTGTCCCAGCAATGAGAGAAAAGTAACCAATCCACCGAGGTATTTCAATTTTTTTTTTTTGTCTTTCTTTTCTTTTCTTTTTTTGACTGTGCAGTTCAGGCTGGCCTTGAGCTCACTCTGTAGTTCAGGCTGGTCTTAAACTTGCAATGATCCTCCTGCCTCAGCCTCCCAAATGCTGGAATTGCAGGAATGCATCACCATACTTGTATTTCAATTTTTTGGAGGCCATTGTGAAAGGTGTTGTTTCTCTGATTTCTCTCTCAGCAAGTTTGTTATTCA